CGATTGAGCCCAGGTGGAGCGCGGCGCCGGCATTAGCTACATCGCCGGCCAGCTGTTTAAGCTGCCTGGCATACCGATCCGGTGGCGAACTGGAAGCCATGGCAGATGATTTCCGAACAAGATGGTGATTTTCCAGTTCACAAACTGTTAGCTTGCCAGTATCCGTGATTAAGATGTTCCTATGTGTTTCGAAACTGGTGGGAAACCATAAGTATGGGCGCCGCGAATCCTTTTGTCTTTAATGTGTTGTTTGGTTTACCTTGCTGGTTTCGGTAAACCATGATATGCCTCAAAAAGTTGGGGTGAGCAATTGAGTTTACCATTTCGTGGGCTTGGAAGGGCTTCATTCGATTGCATATGTTCTCCCCCAAGTCAAAAGTTGTTGGTTGTAGCTTGTTCAATGACTGGGTGAACATGGGAAAATGGATGGTAACTATGATGGGTTGATTTCTGTAGATGATTCCAGCAAAAAGATTGGCTGGTGGTTTCAAATGTTGTCTCATTGCTATGTTTGTTTTCAAACCTACCTGGGATCATGATACCAAATTGAGGTTAAAACCACAGACTTAGCGTGTTCCAATGGGTAGGGAGGCATTCCTTTGATACGTATATATAATTATATATATATATATATATATATATTATGTACACCTAATATCAATCATTGTACTTCAGCAATCTTCAGCATATAAACATAAATACATATACAGTATGTATATATATATACGTACTGTACATATATGTGAATATACAGAATCATTATATGTTTGCATATAATATACGTAATGACTTATATTTATTTATATGTACAGCACGTATTAATTACTAGATAGTGAAGGGCGGTTTTGAGCAAACAACAACATCTACATCCTGCAACATTTGCAGGGGTCCCCAGTAACTTCGGTTTCTAAGGAACTGGATCAGGTCTTGAGAATGGTACAGCAAGCACCATGCTCAGATGGCGCTGCCTGAAACTGTTGAGCAGTGTTGGGCATGCGCTGGTTTTAGAACTTGCAGTGATGCGGAGTTTGTCGGCACATGTTCGACGATTTGCACAGCAGAGTGTAAGGCTGTGCAAGGACTTCCCAGCTGCTGGAGGGTGCAGTAAGCGTTTCTTTTATTGCGTTTCAACCACACGAATTCTGACGTTGAAATGGTTTGCCTCGTGTATGTACTGGCACAGTTAAATGTTTCTCCTAAACTTGCAACTACGCTTAGATTTGCTGAAGGTGATTTGTTTTTTCCCATTGGTTAATCTACCAATTGGGGAATGTATATGAATGTATTGGATGAGCTTCTTGGAGAGGGCAATGAAGAGAGAAATTGGGGAAGACTACTGTGTGGATATGTTTTTCTTGTTTATATTTTCCTCAAGCAAACGCAACTGAGTAAAGTCCTGACATGTTCAAAGTCCAGCCTGGATAGACGGAACTCTGAACTTTTTTGCGGCAGCCGGCCGCTATAGGCAGACAGTCTGCCCCGGCAAGATTCTTCGTCCCGTGGCATTTTGCAGAAAAACAACAGCACTGACACTGGAACCCGAGTAATCATTCCCAGGCTGGCACAGTGCTTGATAGTCGGCTGGTAAATCTGCGTAGCTCCGCAACAAAGTGTCAGGATATGTTTGTTTGAATGTCTTATTTGTCCTTCCCTTTCTTTTTCAATTGAATATATATATATATATATATATATTTATATGTAGTGTATATATATATGTAGTATATATAGAGGGGGCCTACCCAGATGCATGTCACATCAATCATCCTCAGGTTCCTCCATTTGTAGCCTGAACCCTGGAGCCCCATCAGGATGTCAAACGCCGGAGCACCTCAGTACTAAACTTTAGATCCATCTCTAGGAAGTCGGTTCACCGTGACATGAGTTGGATTCAGGGTATGTACTACAGTAAAGGAAAGTTCATGGGATTTGTCCTTTGGATCATGAGAATTGTCCCATTTTTTGTACATCATGTGCATGTGAAAGCACAAGACTTGCCAACTTGAAACTGTTCTCATTCTACGGTAATATCACACAATGTGAACGGAATTCATGAAGAGATGCGGCAGCCTACTACTTTTTTCATGCGAACGCGAATTATCGTATGTGACTGCTTGTGCATCCACACATGACAAGGCTATGGTAACCAAATTCGATTTAGTTCATGTTTCAGTGGGGACTGAGCTGATGCCATTCGTTTCTGTGACATGCTAACCAGGCTCACGTTTTACTAGTGGCCAGCCTACACTGACACATGTCATACTTGAGTTCCAAATCTCTTGCCGGAAGGAATTAATTTCTGTCTAATTGAATGCGGGAGTTGTTTTTTTGCTTAGCAGCGTGTTTGGACCTAAAATCTTGCAGCGCCTTTCGCATTTGTTTTTGCGGGGTTGTCCTAAGGCCAGCCCATGCGCGCAAGTGATCTCAGAAACGTGTTGCTACAAGGTGTTGGCCGAATTGAATTGTGATTGGGATAGAACTGCGGCTCAGGCGAACGATGCGCTTGAGGCACAATGAGTCGTTTGACATGGCAGCAGTTGTTCAGCAATATTTGCGGAACTTGCGTTGCAGGCACAGAACCTTGATTTAGGGCCCAGATTATGGAAGCCGATTTATTTCTTGCCAGCAATTCTAGAGGTGGTTGGGCAGGCATGCTCTGCACTGCATCAGTTTCATGGCTTATAGTTTTAACTGATGGCAAGCGGCAGTGGCTTAAACTAGCCTGAACTCATGTGAGCACATATGGTTGGTTCAAAAGACTTGAATAGCACTCCAGTCTACAAGTTTCATATTGGACCTTCAATGGGAACCATGTTGTAAGACATGTGGGAGCAGCATGGTCTCTGATATTAGCAAGGCTCTCAACAACATGGCCCGCAGAGCCACTTTAGCAACATGGCCCTAAGAGCCACTCCAGCAACATGGCCCAGAGAGCCACTTCTGATCAACAGGGTAGGAACTAGCCGTCCGAAGCACCAAAGCATGCTGCAGGAGGCACTAGGCAAGTAAAACAAAAACACCAAGTTGAGACATGGTTTGTTCAGCAGGATCAAAGTCAACGGCTGCCATGCAATTGCCGGGGCAATGTTTCATTACCTATCTCTTAACATCCAACCCACAAGTCATGTAACAGGAACTTACTGAGTCTAGCCGCTAGCCCTGGTGGCAGCATACTGAAGCCGGTAGCGGAGACAGCGGTGAGCAGAGCAATGGATGTGAAGAACAGCAACAAACTACAAATTCTTCGGGGGGTAAGGTCACTAGGATGGCAATTTGAGCCTTAAATCGAACAGTATTTCAAAGATATGACATGGATTCCTCGTCAAGATGACCATGACTACGAACATGGATAGTCACTCCTCTTTCTTTTGGTTGTGCTGAAGAAAATACTCTGGAATGTTTTGTTTTCGTATAGGACACTTGGCCTCAGCATGCCCCAGGTTGCGCAAACAGCAAAAAGAGGAAACACAACATCAAAGTCCATCTATTGCAAACACTTGTATCTGTATGAGCGTCGCTTGAAGTTATCTCAGAGATTTTCAGAGTGCCTACAACAATGAAAATCACAAAGTCAAGATGGCACAGAGGGCCGCAAACTCAACAACACCAAACAATCAAAATGGCCCAAAGAGGAAACCATTTGCAAGTCAGTGAAATGCAACGGCCCAGTCGGTCATTCTTTTTTTCACCCCTCAGAGTCTCTCTCCTACTGCGCATGCCATTGTTCCCAACGAGGTTTCATGTGCGGTGCACAACGAGACTTCGGAACCATATTTAAGCGGCGAGACCATGGCTTGGACTTGAACTTGCCTCGCTCGCGTTCCATGGCCCGTTTGCTCTTCTGTACTGGACGAGGCCAGGGGGGTTGATTCAGACCCATCGCCTTTATTTTTTCCATGTGCGGCTTCAGCTGTTGGTTCAATTCAGAGGCTTCTTCATCAGTCTCGCCTTCAGTCAATGAGTCATCTCCAAAGAGAGTGCAGTTGTCGTCATCAACTTCCAGAGCGTTCGTGGCAGAGGGCTGTACCATCCCTGTGTCAGAGTTGAATGACAAGACCGTGGTAGTAGGTCTGGAAGACGACGAGGTGGAACCAGGAAGGCCTTCACTATCAGCAAGGTTCCTGACGGGCGTATACAAGAATACACAGAAGTCATCATTATTATGTCACAAGGACAACATGGCCCGAAGAGCCACGATTCACTACTTAGAACGTAAGCGCTGCTTACCATTCAGATCATTGTGATAGCATGCAAAATGGCCTTTCGACGAGCCACCGACATGTTCAAGAAATGGAAACCGAAGGAAAAACAAACTCGGGCGTCCTGTATTCAGCAATGGTGTTCAGAAGTTTCGCGTTCAGAGCCTCATCTGCCTCATCATCTTGCTCCTTCTTGGCCATGGCGGCAAGTTAGGCACGTGCAGGGTTGAGTGCTTGATTGTTATCTGTTTTTGGGAAGCTTTCGCTATATGTGCCATACATTGGTCTTTTTGCTGCCCAAAGTCTAGTGGGAAGTTGGACACCGTGAAGTTTTTTGAAAAATTGACGGCGCAAACCTTCTGTGGACGCTACCTGTTCTTATTGAGAAACCGCAGGGCAAAAAGACAGGAGTCATGATTGGAAGACACCAAACAGAAGGAACTGCAAAAAAAAACGTTTGTCAACATGGCCCAGAGAGCCACTTTCAAACCAAGAACGCTCCATGCAAACAACATGGCCCAAGGAGCCACCAGAAGAGGTTGAATTACATGGCCCAAAGAGCCACATACAAAAAAGTAGAACGTGAGTGCAGCCTGCAGAGCGAGATTTCCAAACAACCTGACATGTGTCCAAGACACTGTTCTGAAGAAATGAGCACTTCAGTATTTTCCCCGCACTGCTGTCCAAGCAATGTTCCAAGTGGAGATGCAGCATTGAATGCAACATCATCATCTATAGCCCCAAAAGCGCATTGAACTCCGCAGAGTTCTTGTCACAAAGGCCCTCAAAGATCTCCTCAAGATCTCAAAGTTTCACAGCTTTCTTGCTGTCAAGAATAATTTCTTCAAGGATACAAAGGTATGGCTTGACAGGGACCAGGCCTTTCAAAGCCCATTTGACGCTCCAAACCACTTGTGCATGTTTGAGCTGCTTCAGGGTGGAAACAGGCACCAGCGACGCAAAAGACCCAGTCCCTTTGTGCAGTTTGATTTCACCACCTGCTTCGCCTTCAGCAACAACTTTGGCCGTGGGTTTGAAATACACTTCGTGCTTGCGGACGATGTCAAACTTTTTCAAGTTGTCACCTGGTGCAGGGGTGACCTCATGGTAAGAAATGCTGGCTTTGCCCTTTTCAACCTGGCGCGTGTGGAGCAGATCTCCCAAAGTTTCGAGCTTGTTATTGTAGAGGACCAGATCAGCCTCTGTCATGTCAAAGAGGAGCAGCTTCTCAGTGTCAACCTGGGCCGGCTCATTTCCTTGCCGCGGCTGGTGCTGGAATTGACCAGCTCCAAAACCGGCCACCGCAATGCCAGCTGCAAGGCTGACTGTCTTGTCAGAAGTGTTGCTGACCCACCATTCATGCTTCATGTCGACTTGCACCATGATCTTGCCTTGAACATCCTTTTTCACGCCGGCCATGGCAGCCTCTGCCAGCTTTGTTCCGGGCAGCCTGTCCAAATCGACAAACTCCACTGAATCAGCGACTCTGCGTCTCTTTGGCGAAGGCTCGATTTCGGGATCGTCTGCAGCCGGACGAGATGCGGCAGGCTTGGGTTCACCAAACTCTTCAAAAATTGCTTTCACCATGTCTTGAAATTCATGGCCATGGGTTGGATGTGTGGCCCACTCACTCATGATTTTGTCTGGCACAGCCATGGTCGGCCCTGCGCGCAAACTGCACAGGTTGAACTGGGGCGCTGGAGGCGGAGAGAGCAAGACATCAGCCGGTGGCTCCTTGCCTTTGCATTGAAACCCTGGCAACTTCAAATCTTGACTCAAAAGCTTCTCCACCATCTCCTCCTGCGTGTGGTGTTGAAACCAATCCAAAGTGACTGGGTCAGAGGTGGCCCCGATGAAGTAGACAGGGAAGCGCAGGGCTTTACAGCGCTCAAGCCAAGCAAAGAACATGTCTCCAACACCCAAAGAGGTCTCTACCAAGAAAACGGCTGAAGTCCCAGCCGGGAGGTCTCCATCCACAATGCTCTCAAGGAGCTTGAGGGCCGCTGGTGTTCCAATCTGCTCAAAGCGCCTGCCGCCTCGCAGAGAAGCTGAGTCATCCGTAGTGCTGGGCAACGACGATTCTGACAAGTCCTCAGGGAGAAACATTCAGAAACATGGCTGAGAGAGCGTGATGAGACATGATCTGGACAGCGAAAAAGATTTTACTAACTTAAAACGAATAATTCCAAAACAGTCCTCAATGCTTTTGAGAGCATTGTTGGGCAGTTGCTCTGCATCCTCAGTACGCCCAGTCCGCATCAAGCGAGAGTTGCCCCAAAAAGCAACAGCTGGATGTGCCCGGACTTTGCGTGTGCCAGCAGCATCTGGATCATCGCCACCTTCAGCAGCACCAGATATGTCGACATAAGGCCGGACCACTCTGATGGGATACAGGAGAGGTCTCTGATCTCGAGAATCTTTGCGATCTTTGAAGCACAAAGCACCTTGAATGTCAACATCCACACCCCTGTTGGACAAACTCTTCAGCAAAAAGTGCTCCAAAGCATGGCGCTGGTGAATCTTGTAATGGAAGACAGGAGAAAGAAGAATGCCAATGTTCTGGGGCTGCTCAGACACCAACTGACAAAAGGCATTGGCTTCAGCTTCTTGTGAACTCTGAGAGTGGGCGGCTGGGGCGGCCCAATTCAATATCGCCAGGGTTGCCTGCTGTGCAATACCAGGTGCCCGGAAAAAATGTAATGAGGGCGCCGTACTAAATATAGAACAGATACCTGTCAAAGTACTAGGGAGTAAACATGTTTTGAACACATGGAAAAGAATCAGGGATCAAAATAGTCAAAGTACCACCGTTGGCTTCTCCAAACCATTGCATCTCAACAGGGCGTTCATGTTCTCGGCAATACAGCGGTTGAGACAACCAGATTCAGCAGAGTCATAAGCAAAGACCCGGCAACGCTGCGACATCCACTGCTGAGACCACTGATGGGCTTCCTCGCGTCTCTTCTTGTTCCAATCCAGCTTGGCATGGTGCGCTGCTGTGTGAAAATTCTGCATCTTTGACAGGTAGACCCTGAAACACTGCACATCATACTCCAGCTGCTTGGACAACAAAGACCATTTGTCCTCGTCCAGGCGCGTCAGCAAAAGCTCAGAAGCTGCTGTTGGGCCCACTGGAGCCTTGCAGTTGCAAATGTCCACAACATTGCGAAACATTTTGATGTCAGTGACAACCAATTTTTCACGCTTCTCAGTTTGGACTTCATGCATCTCCAAGTCCCAACCATGCGAACCGTTCAGCCATGGCTCATAGATGTGGGTCTCCACATCTTTTTCCGAAATGGGAAACTGCTCCATGAGCTGGGTGGCAAGGTTCACCAGGAGGCACGCTGTCTCAGCCACAGCTTCCATGCGCTGCTTGTCAGCTTTGCGGCGAGCAGAGCCTGGCTTCTCATGATCACGGATGACCCGGGCAAAGGTCAAGAGACTTGCCTTGACATTCATGGAGCACAATTTCTTCCAAGTCTTGTGAGGAGCTTTGTGGCTGGCATTGGGCAAAATTTTCTTTGTGCTCATGGCATCATCAGTGAGACAGCATCCTTCCCAGCCCCATTTGCTGACATGGTTTTGAAGCATCATGATTAAGTCATCCGGGAACAAGGCCATGAAGTTTCCCAAAGCCGTAGCTTTGGATCCGATGAGCCATGATGACTTTGGCACCATCTGGTTGAACCTGGAAATCACAGCTGAGCTGTCTTCATAGCCTTTCGTCTTCAAAGTGCGCAGAGTGTGCAACCATGTCATGAAGTTCGGTGGCTTGCTGAGGCTGTCCCTGATGCTGAGTAAAAAGTTGTTGAAGACCTCGCTCTCCAAACTTGGCATGGCCACATGGTGCACGTAAATGCATCCAACTGACTCTCTGAAGACTTGGAAAGTATTTAGCAAAGCTTCGCCATTTCCATCTTCCCAAAAAAGGTGCAACAGTGCCAAGCAAGTGGTGGCACGCAGCATCCCTTTGACATAGCCCAAGCTGAGTGGCTCGACTGGCATGCCATTGGCCTCATCTTTCCATGGGGCTTCCAAAGCAGTCACCGGCTGGATATGCTTCACAAGCAAAGGCTTTCCACTGGTCCGGAAACCGTCATTCAGGATATGCTGGGCCAGTTCCAAAGAAGAGTGCGCAGCTGGGGGGGGCTTCAAACTGCAGGGAGCATCAAAACCAAGCATGGAGATGTGAGTCTTGCAAGGCAAAGAATCGCCGAGTTTCTGGATGTCGACGCTCGGGAACGGAGACTCTAGGTTGTAGGCCTTGCTTGGGTCCAAAGGAAATGCCTGCCACAGCCAAGCCACAAAGGCTTCTCGTGAGCTTGTCTCCTGAAGCTTCGTTTCCAAGTACTGCATGGGCCCAAGGTGTTTCTCCAAAACAGTTGCCTTGTAGGTGTCCACCACAAAGTCGACCTGGTCCTTAAACTTGGCATGGGACGGGTCTGGTGCAGGCAGCTCCCATTGGACAGGCGTTGGTGCGGAGCTGGGCTCTGAAGAGGCCATGGCACCAAACTACTTACACTAGCTGGAGAAAGAAAACTTCAACGAAAAAACAAAAAGGTTCGGTCCGATCAGGCGGCCCGGAAATTGGACCCAGAGATCCGACTAGAAAAAATTTTCCGAGCCGTTCTTTCTAGAGCGACGATTAGATCATCCGATCTTGCCTTCTCGATTTGATAAGCCACGATCCGACGATTTAACCGCTGGACATATAAGATCCGACTAGAATTTTTTTTTCGTTCCGATCTCCTCCCCTCATTTTTGGAATACCAGATCCGACGAAAACAGCAAAAATGATCTTTTTTTCCTTCAGCAGACACCGAGTCTGAGGAACTTGTCACATGCCAGCACTGACTTCTCCCCGTCAGAGCTAGCAAAAGCTTAAGATTTGGCTTGGAATCTCCAGCCAACTTGTCCGCAAGGAGCCATCTTCGCAGCCCGGAATCATATCTCTGATGCTTTGTGAAAAAAAATCACGAAGCTGGTGATGGTAAGTCCGCCTCAGAATCTGCATCATCGGCTGGAGCAACTTGAGCTTCAGGAAGTGCCGGTGCTGCCACATTGTTGGTGTAGTTCAAAACACTTCGAGCCATACCCCTGCAGAAGTCAGCAGGGTAGACTTGAGCACTGCGACATCTGGAGGCTCCCCCTTCACGACCTTGGAGCCAAGCATGTTCCACAGGAAGATGGCTGCAGGTCTCAGGGGTGCAGCGAGTAGAAAAGCAAATTTCCAAGGTCTGTAAGTTGCTCAGAAACCTGGTTCGCTTCCTCACTGGTTTTTGCTCCGCCGTGGTCACCAAGCCCAAGAGGCATTGATCAAAAATCGTTTGAAAAACGCCTGGGGTATTTGCAACCTCTTCTGTGATTGACAAAGCCCATGATGAAGCAAGCCATGGGTGCTCAAGCACAGCTTTCCGACCCTGTCTGCACTGCTCCTTGAAGAGACACAAAGCAAAACGCCAAAGCAACAAGCCTTGCTCATAATGTTTCTTCCATGTCCTCTGACATTTGCGTCGATTCTTCATGGAGTTTTGGACTTGCGAGAAAACAGTGCAAGGGGGGCTCAGCATCAGGACAAACGGTTGCAAGACAGCAAGCAATTGCAGCAAGTGGTTCTGACAACTCCGCAGAGCAAGGTTCCAACCAGTACCAAGGTCAATGCTCGGGCCAACACGCATGCCCAGACCGGAGACATATGGGGCAATGCGAGGGTTGCTGAAAACTTCCATGAAGTGGACCGGCACTTTTGGTTGAGGAAGAGCCCGAGCATCACGACAAGGTGAGGTGTCACCATCGGAACCATCCAGGTCACTTGCCCATGCTGACCCCAAAGATTCTGTCTCTGTGAGGACATCCTCAGGGAGCTCCATTTCACTTCCGGGAGAGTTGGCCATGGCGAGAAGAGGTGCTGAGGCCACAGGTCACAAATAGGGAGACCACCACAATTTTGAGATCACAATCTGCAAAAGAATGGACAAGACAATATTTCAAAAGCAACCGTACAGGCACAGGAATGACAGGGAAATTCACGTTATATACGTTCAGTAGTATGGCCAACAAACCGAGAAGATGACATGACAACAATGGAGTTGTTTTGGGGCAGACACTACATGAGTGTGACAGTCCATGACGTGGACTGAGAGAACTCACACTTGGTCGGACAGAACGGCGCAAACATGGCCCAGGGAGCCACCCAGCCACCACATGCAACATGCATGGCCCAAGAGAGCCACAAAAGATTGACGATATTATGAGAACAGCAATGGGGCATAAAGGTTGGCAACATGGCCCAAAGAGCCACGAACAGCAAACAATAATCCAAAAAACAATGATCAAAATGGCCCCAAGAGCCACATTTGACATAAGAAACCATGAAGACATCATGGAGGATTTGCGCCAAAAGTTTGGGCTATAAAAGAGATGGCGCTGAAAGACTTCCAGAAGTCTTGTAGGCATTTGTTTTCCTTCTGTCAACAAGTCTCCAGTGTTGAGAAAGTCTGAAATGCTCATGCCCCAAGAGACGCTGCTTTGCGTTTCTCAGCACGTGCGCGACACTGGGCACAGCTGGTATAGCGACATTTCGAGCATCCCAGTGGCTGCTCTTCTCCATCTGCAATATGCCTGGCATATGCATGTGCTGCTGCAGGTCGGCGAAGAGGAGCTGCTGCAGGGCGGCGCATCATTCTGCTCACCTTGCCTTTGGGTTTGGCTTCTAAAAGCTTAAACTTAGCAGCTGCGCTGGTCACCGGAACCCTTTGGCCAGGTGGCATAGGTGTCGAATCTGCAAAATTGCCTGCGGATGGGGTCAGCACGACATCTTGTTCAAGCACCGGCTTCCCACTGTCTGGCTCCGAAACAGGTGAAGGCATTGACAATGTGTCATAGAGGCTGCATGAGTCATGGGTCTTTTTTTCCTCGCCGATTTTCCTTTCGTCTTTTAGGCTTTCCACTTTTGTTGTGGCACAAGGCACAGGTGGAGGGGCATTGTCTGTCTTGTCAGGAGGCTGAGCACCAATGTCATCAAAGAAAAGGTTGTCAGAAAATTGAACAGGATCCTTCGACATACTTTCCGTTGGCGTCAGCTCATCAGCGTGAAAGCTGGATGCAGGAATGGTTCGTGCCACAGGTGTGCGTGGCGCCGAATCCTCTAAGAGTACGCCACTCAATGCTCTTGAAAAAGTCCTGCTTTCATCTTCAGTGTCTGAAACAGATTTGGCGTCTTCCATGGCCTCACCTATAGTCTTCTGAGGCAAGTCATTGTCACGCAAATTGCGCAACCCATCCCACATGGATTGAGTCATGTCCACAACGACGCCTTTATCAAAACCTAATGGAAAATAGCAGCCAAAACTGCAGAATGGCACTGTAGTTCGCGAGGCTTTTTAGAGGAATTGGCACGGACATCGTAAACTATAATCATAGTAAAGACTGCATGCTGTCTAGCAGTAACTCCAGCAAACAAGACACCAAACAAACATTCACAAAATGGCCCAAGGAGCCACTACTCAAACCATGGCCCTAAGAGCCACCAAGTCAATATGATGTCATGTCATGTGACAATGGCCCAAAGAGCCACAAACACGAAAACTTTGGTCAGCAGTGATGCACAGGACCAAGCAAATCAGAAAAAGTTCACGCATGTTTCTATAGCGAATGAAACCGCAAGGCTTGAACACAACTTCTCAGCTGGAAGCAGCTGGGCGCTTCAAAACCGGAGGATTGGACGCAGCTGGTCTCTTTCGTGTCGGGCGCTTTCCCATAGGCGAATCTGCTGCTTGTGCTTGCATCACAGCACGAGCACGTCGGGACACGCTTGCTAGCTGTGGCACTGTTGGTTTCTCAGCTTTCTTCTCTCTTTTGGCGAGTTCCTTTTCTAATTGCTTCTGGGTCCGACGCACTGGAACGACAGGGATGCACCCTTCTGGAGCAAAATCTGTCCAAGATTGGCCAGCCGTGATGGCAGACTCTGGCACAAAGTCACGCCCTTCCATGACAAATGTGATCGATGGGAAATGTCGATTGGGCACCCGGTCTTGATTCCGCTGCAGCCATCCCAAAATGTAAGCAGCACCTGCTTCAAGGTTCCAAGGGGGCTGCAGAATTTGTTCAGCTGTCTTCCGATATTGTTTCACGGAATCTGGGTTCAAAATGAAGCGAGGGGACCTGTCCAACTGGCGAAAATCAAGTTTCCAAGGGCCCGTCCACAAGACAGTGGGTTCTTGTGACAACTTCTTGGAGACCAGCCAATGTTTGGCTAGTAAAATTGGATCATGGGGAAGACCAGGCTCATTCCATTGAACTTCTGGGACACAAAGGGGCACCATGTCCCTGCGCACAACCCGCAAAACGTGAGCTGCATCAGCAATGCTTTTTGTTCCTGTAAGACCTGTGAAATGTTTTTCCAAGGGGCCAAAAAATTTGCGCCAATAATGCGAACCACCCAGCTGTTCAAAAACAGCTGGAACATCCCGCGCAGACCGGTAGTGGAGCTGTAAGTGCGAGATGTAATCTTCTGGTGTTTCCAGCTGCTTGCATCCGGTCAGCAGGCTTCCGATCACTGAAAACCGCTGATCCAAGCGATTGTGTGTGTGTCCAACTCTGAAAAATGCTAGACATACTTCAGAAAATCGTTGCGCAGATATCAAGGCACCACACCAGAGTAAGAGAGGCGCATTACGCCCCTCTTTTGGTGTGTTGTCTGAATGGACTATCAATTTCCACGGCATGGATTTGTGTTTTTTTCGCAGTTCCACCTCTGCAAGTTCCAAAGCTCGACTGAGTAAAGTTTGCTGGGTATCGGAATCTCCATGCATATCAGCCTCCAACAATGCATAATATTCAAGAATTCCTGCAACAAGAACCCCTACAAAATGCATGGCAGGCCGCCAGAGCTGACTCAATCGCTTTGTTGAATCCAAGCAGCGTGGCACAAGCCATTTTGACTTGTCCATGGCGTCAATGGTGCACAGTATATGAGGAACCTCGACGTCTTCCATCCGCATACTTTGCTCGGCCAAATTTTCCATGGCAGTAATGATGCTGCGATCGCGAAAAACATGTCGAATGTGTGTGTTGTAAGCCTCTGTGACAGCCTTGACATCGGCAGGATTGCTTTGCAATTTCCGAAATCTACCTGGGCCCAACAGACATGAAGCAGAAGTGCTGAAAAAAAGCCATAAGCAAACAAAGAAAAACTTCAACTGACAAAAAGTATAAACTGAATATTCCCTGGGTCGCTATATTTGGCACAATCATCACATCTCGAATGCTGAGTAACGGCCCTAATCCCCAGAACTGCTTGCCATTTTGTCCACACTCGTTTGAACGTAGCCATAGATGCCTGATCCTTATGGGATTGGTGCATGTCCTTGTACAAGTCAAAAAGTTCAGCACTGGTCATAGTGGGCAACCAACGCTTTTGAACTTTGGGTTTTTGACCTTCCACAGGAAAAGCGCTGGAAAGCACTTGTAGAAGATCATTGTCGCTTTGTACCCAATCTGGCCCATCCACGATACTGGTGTCACCCAATTCTTCTCCTTCCTGAGCTTCGGTATTCACCATAGCCAATGGTTCAGCCAAATGCTGGTAGATGAATACAAAAAAAACTTCCACATCTTCCCTTTTCGGCTCTACTCGTTTGAGAGGGTTTTTGCGTCCATCTTGCGGGGCCAAAACTTCGCCCTGGGCGATGAGCTTCAGAAAAGACCGGACTTTTTTGGGCATGCAACCTGTGATGTGGCAATACGCAGTCAGGCAAAAGCTTGAACCTTGCCAGACAAACTGAGTCCGAAACTGTCCAGCTGGATTGGCTTTGTTCATGTTCAACAGCTGGTTGAACCAGAGCGTGTTTTTGGAAGGCAAATCTAAGGGCTCCAAGCCCATCTTCAGAGCGTCAACCTTTTCGCGCAGCGACTGTGGCATTTTCTGCAAACATTGCTGCTTGCAACAATGGTCAGATGGCGTAGTGTCAGGTAGGTCTACGGCAGATTCCTCTGACACCAGTTCCTCATTGCTACTGCTGCAGACATCAGGAGGCAAGTCCACATCATCTGGCTGAAGTGCCATGTTACACCGAGCAGTGGAGAACGATTTTTTTAACCAATGGAAAGACTTGTGGCATGTGAAAATTGGAAAGAGAAATCAGTCCTGAAGTCACTTTGTTTCCAAATCTACTTGGCAAATCCGCGCAAATCTTGAAGCAGCCCAGCAAAAACCGCAACTTTAAATGACTGACACGAAAGGGCCCCTTCCTTCGCAAATGGCTGAGAGAAACATATCAACAACAATTCCCCATTTAGTATGTTGTGTTTATTATGTTTTTTCAAAGAACGAACCCGCTATTGTTGTTCATGAAAGGTTACTACTAATACTAAAATGGCCCAAGGAGCCACTTGCCTTCATGAAGAACATGGCCCATAGAGCCACACAAACAAAATGGCCCAGCGAGCCACCTGCCAAAAACCAAGCCTTGCAACAAATGCAGCCCGCCCAACCCTGCCACAGCTACAGACCCAGACATTAGTTGCTTCTTTGTTTGTCCAATGTTTTTATTCGCCTTTTCCTCCGCAGACCTCGGGTTTGCGCGTTTCATTTAGACTTCTACCAACGCACTGCCATGACGAAGTGCAAAGATGGCATCCTCCAAGAACAGGACCGCTTCAGTGACCAGGTCCCAAAGAGCTGGAGGCAGCTCGACTGCATCATCGAAAATCCATTTGTGCAACGTGTCCTTTGCCTGCACCGCCATGTTCTCCATAAAAGTTCTCTTTTCAGAGCGCAAGGTGCTCAGAAAACTGAGAGATCGTTGGTCATTCCCTGGCGCCAATGAAGCATGGGTAATGGAGGCCAAATCGCTTGTAAAAGAAAAACTGGCCACACATTGGGCTGAGATGCAGCAAGTGGCCAAATCTGCCATGGGTCTGGTTGTCGACCAAATGCCGCAGAGACGAAGAATCATTATCCCAGTCTCCTTCACATGCTCGCACTCTTCATCAACCTGGTCTGCCCCATGCGCCAGCACAGCACAGCGAAACCATTCAGCAGTGAGCATCTTGAGTTCCATGGATGCTGCCATAGGACCAATAGCGCTTTTTGGGAAGGAAGTCACGCACTGAACCTTTGCAAACCCTGAAGCCCATGTCACGGAGAGTCACTTTGGAAGAGTCATAGCAAGGGACGAGCCATCTTCAAAATGGCCCCGAGAGCCACTGTCAAGCCAAGACGAAGAAAACGCCCCCCCCAAAAAAATAAGGACAATATATCACAAATATATTATATATATATATATATATTTATATATCTCTCTCTCTCTCTATCTATATTTTCGTGTGTAAGCTAGACAGGATTATCAACCTTAAAACCTTGGTGTCACAAAAACTCTTGGGAAAAAGGAATGGCATCAGCCCAGACCCATAGAAATTTCACTACGGCAACCTTTTCCTGTGCAGGTGCACAAGCAGTCACATATACGCTGATTTGTGCTCGCATGACGAAAGTATTAGGCTGCCGCATCTCTTCATGATTTCCGTTCACATTTTGTGATATTACAATAACGTAGAATTAGAACAGTTACAAGTTGGCAAGTCTTGTGCTTTCACATGCACATTGTGTAGAAAAAGGGACAATTCCCACGATCCGAAGGACAAATCCCATGAACTTTCATTAGTAGTAGTGGCAAAAACAGGTAGCTGGATCATCTCATTGTTTTTTCCCCACCTGCCAGGTGAGGGTTGTTAGATTTTATCAGAGCTGTTCTTCTCCTCCTCGGCTAGCTCTTCTCCTCCTCCTCTTCCTCCTCCTTCTCCTCCTCCTCCTCGTCCTTCTCCTCCGCCTGCTTCGCCTCGACCATGTCTGCATCAACTTCCACCTCAACTTCCGCCTTGCCAACTCTTCGCCAAGCTCTTTGCCAAGTGTGCACCGCTGGACCTCAACCTGGGACCTTCCCAGCTCAATGTGCACCGCTGGACCTCAACCTGGGACCTTCCGAGCTCAGTGTGCATCGCTGGACCTCCACCTGGGACCTTCCCAGCTCAGTGTGCACCGCTGGACCCCAACGGCCAGATAGAATGCCAGAAGATATGCCAGATAGAATGTCAGATAGAATGCCAGAGGATATGCCAGATAAAATGCCATGAGATATGCCAGATAGAATGCCAGAAGATATGCCAGATAAAATGCCAGAAGATGCCAGATAGAATGCCAAAAGATATGCCAGATAGAATGCCAGATAGGATGTCAGAAGATATGCCAGAAGATATGCCAGATAGAATGCCAGACGATATGCCAGATAGAATGCCAGAAGATATGCCAGATAGAATGTTAGAAGATATGAAAGATAGAATGCCAGAAGGTATGCAATGGAAAGTGCCAGAATGTTTTCCAGATAGAACGCCAGAAGATATGCCAGATAGAACGCCGGATAGAATGTCAGATAGAATACCAGAAGGTATGCCAGATAGAATGCCAGAAATTATGCCAGATAGAATGCCAGAAGGTATGCCAGATAGAATGTCAGATAGAATGCCAGAAGGTATGCCAGATAAAGTGCCAGAATGTTTGCCAGAGAGATGCCAGAAGTTTTGCCAGATAGAATGCCAGATAGAATGTCAGAAGATATACCAGAAGATATGCCAGATAGAGTGCCAGAAGATATGCCAGAACATATGCCAGGTAGAATGCCAGAAGATATGGCAGATAGAATGCCAGAAGATATGCCAGATAAAATGCCAGAAGATTTGCCAGTAACAAAACGTATAAATGTCATGGTGGGGATGACTCGAAGTGGTGGTTTGGAACATGTTTAATTTTCCATATATTGGGAATAATCATCCCAACTGACTAATATTTTTCAGAGGGGGTGAAACCACCAACCAGACCACATTGTCTTGCTCATGAATGCCGAGTTGTTTTTTTGGCATCATCAATGCAGATGTTTTCCGCATATGTGTTCCCTTCAAGCAGTTTTAAGAATCAACCCAAAATATGGGTACTGGCTGAATTATTAATTACTGCTTGACGGGAACATATATGGTGGTTGGTCTTGGAAATCCTTCTTAAATGATTTTCAATGTTGCTGGAATGGTTGTGTTCCAGCGGGATCACACGTCAAAGCGAGGCATCGCCGATGCATCACCGTAACTCTTTGCAACATGCAGAGGGGGATTGTTGACCTCCTTACATATCTTACATCCACCTGAGTCCTCTTATCGCCTGCTTTTCTCTGAGCAATAATGGCGAGTGTTGGTACTTGTTTGGAAGATGTACTGCCACCTTTCTATGCGCAGAAACAAAATGGGGACCTGTTCACCCAGCTGCACAGGCGCCAGTGGATCCCAGAGGCTACAGAATGGAGGTGCTGAACCTGGGGCGACCAGCAGCCAAAAGGGAAGAAATTGGGAGGCTTGAGGAGTTTGGGATGATAGTGTGTCCAGGCGAGTTCGCACCTGGTTTTTTCTTGGCTTGGAGGAGTACATGGGTAGGGTGGCAATACCCCAGAACATGACAAGAATTGCCTGCGAACAACCTTGGTCACTTTTGGCCAGTACAAAGTGGTAGGGTGGCAATACCCCGAACAACCGTGGTCACTTTTGGCCAGTACAAAGTGGTTCCCCACCTGCCAGGTGAGGGTTGTTAGACTTTATCAGAGTTGTTCTTCTCCTTCTCCTCCTCCTTCTTCTCCTTCTCCTCGTTCTCCTCCACCACCTCTGCCTTCACTTCCATGTTCACTTCCGCCTTGCCAACTCTTCGCCAAGCTCTTCGCCAACTTCCGCACGCAGTGGGCACTGCTGGACCTCAACCTGGGACCTGCCGAGTTCAGTGCTGGACCTCAACCTGGGACCTGCCGAGTTCAGTGAGCACCGCTGGACCTCAACCTGGCCGCCGAGCTCAGTGAGCACCGCTGGACCTCAACCTGGGACCTTCCGAGCTCAGTGAGCACCGCTGGACCTCAACGGCCAGATAGAATGCCAGAAGATATGCCAGATAGAACGCCAGATAGCTTGTCAGATAGAATGACAGAAGATATGCCAGATAAAATGCCAGAAGATATGCCAGATACAATGCCAGAAGATATGCCAGATACAATGCCAGAAGATATGCCAGATAGAATGCCAAAAGATATGCCAGATAGAATGCCAGAAGATATGCCAGAAGTCATGCAAGATAAAGTGCCAGAATGTTTTCCAGATAGAATGCCAGAAGTTTTGCCAGATAGAATGCCAGATAGGATATCAGAAGATATGCCAGAAGATATGCCAGATAGAATGCCAGACGATATGCCAGATAGAAAGCCAGATCAAATGCCAGCAGATATGTCAGATAGAATGCCAGAAGATATGCCAGATAGAATGTCAGAAGATTTGCCAGTAACAAAACGTATAAATGTCATGGTGGGGATCACACGAAGTAAAGTAATTTATTTACGTAATAGATGATTTTCCCATGTAAAACCCTTTGTATAAAGATTACAAAGGGAATTTTCCAGCCAGCCATGTTTGATAAGTGGAAGGTATCATTATTATCTCTCCCTTACTTAGTGTCTTGCGGGGACGCGCAGATCAGAAACTCCCAATGGCTCGGATCCAGCACCGACTTCAATATAGTCAATAGAATCTTCATTGTCTGTTAATGTTTTTCTGTTGCTATTTAGGGGCTCAAGCATATGCTAAGACAATGTTACAAGTTGGATGAAACCATCCGTTTGGACGATTTCGTGTGTAGCCTGTGTGGCCTGTGTGGCCTGTGGAGCCTGAGTAGCAACCATGGGAGATGAAGCCTGCACAGCGCTCTTGAACAATGAAGACATTGTGACAAAGCAGATCCTTCAAGACACAGAGGAGCGACTCAAGCACGACGATATGATTTCAATCGAGGATCCGGATCATCTGCAGCTTGAGTTGGACCTGACCGTGAAGGAGAGCCCCTTGGTAAACGGCTTGCTGACATTGGTTTCTGTTGCAACCTTCCTGGCCGGCTTTGTAGCCTCCGACTTCAGTGGATACCAATCTGAGGATTGGCAAGGGGCCCACTGGATCTCTAAGTGGCTCTATGTGTGCTTGTTGGCATATGCTGAAGGCTCGTGCCTATACATTGCCATTTGTGGTACCATGGCATGCGCAACGCATCTTCGTGCCGCCAACCAGCTAGAAGGATGGGAGAACCGGTGCCGCATTGCATTGGAACCTGTCCTACAAAATCTGGACCAAGTCAAAGGAAAGCGCTTGGACACGATAGAGGCTGTCCTGAGAGCCGTCATTCACAGTCAAGGGGACTGGGCCCGTACTCTTGCCATTGCAGGTGGAATAAACATGTCAAAAATGGTGCACTGGTATCAGAAGCCAGGTGCAGATGGTTCAGGACAATTCCTTTTGATAATCAAGGATCCTGTGAGCCTCATGGGGTCTCACTGTGCTTTCAAGTATCTCACTGATGTAAGTTTTCCCATTGCTATCGTGTGCTTCCTGTCCGCGCAGACCCTAAAGGCTCTGAAAGGTGAGTCTCAGCACATCGTGCTGAGTGTCCTTTTTATCGTTGCTTTCTGGCTGTTGAAAATTGGCCATGACCTGCAATCCCTGTACCGAAAGATCCTCGACTGAGGCTGAGGGGTGGCCATAGAGCTACCGTTTCTGCATGGATTGCAAGCTGACTATTTGCACAGACTCAGCGCAAAAGTCTCAAATTCTTGCATTGTCTTGGAGTACTTCCACTGTTTGCGGGTAAACTCTCCGGTTTGCTTGGTTGACTTCTCCAATATCCGCATTATTTTCCGCTATTCATTGGTTGGACATTATTAAATCATGTTGAATCCTGTTAAACCATGTTGAACATTCCAATGTTTGATGGTTTGATCATCTTTTTTCCCTGTATATATCCCAATTTCTGATGGTTATGTATCATGTTATATCCCCACCATACTCCCATGAAATGCTGTCCACCCCCAAAAAAACAGGTCCCCTTTTGCCCTGGGTGAGCTCACTGACTCCAAAGGTGCCGTGCCGGCCATGGTTCCAGTGGAGAAGCCTTTGGGGCGAGTTCGCCGGGGGTCTAAACAATGGGATTCCTTCAGTGAGTGACTAGGGACCTGGTGGGAGCGGTTTTAGTGCCGATGGTCCCAAGCCCTCAGGTGGCTAGTTTTATGATAGTGAAAATATGTGAAAATTAAGTGGACAACCTCATTGTGTTGAAGGGTAAAACTCACAAAACCATGGGGGAAACCCGTTGTTTTCCATCGAAATCAACCCAGCGAATACCAAGTGCTATCGATTTTGTTCTTAAGCTTTGCGGTAGGTCTTTTTGGGCACAACTCTGGTTTTGCTTAGAAACCCTGCAGCTCTTACGCAACAGAACTTATATATACTTATATAATATTTTTTGCGCGTGGATGTGGAGGTTTCTCTTCCAATCTTGACTTCTGAATCCGTGTTATAAATTTACTACGAAAGGATTCAACAGGCAAAATTATGCGCCAAAGCTATTCCAAAGCTATCCAAATCAATTTCAAGAGGCGCTTGGGTGGTTAGTCTTTCTGTTGGGATGAATCAACCCCACTCCAAAGTGTTGCCACCTTGAAACCAGCACATATACACGTAGAAGAAGGTATGTAACTATATAATTCATACGCACTTCTAAACTCACAGGGTATCAAAGGGTGTTAAGGAGATCAGCAGCGCTGTTTCTGAGGGACTGACCGACTGACCTGATCGCACCTCGTCTCACTGCCGTTACAGTCTCCAAAGGAGAAACTTTTTCGCGAGAAAATGGCCGAGAAGCGACCTTTGGAAAGGGGGACCAGGGGCACCTTGAAGATGTGGTGATGCAACTGCTCCGTTCTCTTCAAGAAGCCCTTTTCGGTCCCTATTTCTTGGTCTTCAGGTGGAAGGGCTTACCCGAATCCTAGACATCTCACATGGAAATTTCACATGGCAATTCCACTGCTCACTTGAGCAGTGCAGATTGTCATGGAGCATGTTTGGACATCCTGCCACTTCCATTGACCAAGGAAGCATTGAAGCAACATCTTTTGTTAACCCAAAGCTGGTTCCTCAGATGGCACCTTGGCACATTTAGCGGTTCGAACCCTTTGAACTAAAGGATCTTGCATGCATCTAGACAAATTATATCCTCACTGCAACATCAAAGGAAGGATGGTTGGGATTGAAAACAGCTCTCCCAAAATGGCCTTGCTTTGGGTCAGAGAATATTACAGTAGCATCACTAATTATTTATGAAGATCCATGAGTGCATGAAGTAAAGTTGGACTGCTGAGCTGGTTGCAGAGAGAATTTGCCAACAGCGTGGACATCTCGACACCATGAGGGCCCAACCATTGATTCCTTTGTGGTATCGGCAGTGGTCAGGAAGCGCAACCACAACAGCTGTATCCCTCCCCCCTTTGCTAATGTACGGTAGGGGGGGGCCTAGCTAATGTACGATACTTTTCCGTACATTTCTCAAAGGCTTACCATATGATTCCGTACATTTTTTTTGGGGGGGGCGCAAACTCACCAGAACCAATTTCTATACATCCAGTGTTTATTCCTGTTCCAATTTCCACTTGATAAGGCCAACATGCGTAAACAATCACTATCTTTATATCGTTGGTGTGCCAGCATTGTTGGCTACCAATTGTTGGACTATAGCAAAAAATCAATATTTTGATACGTTCAGCTTTACCTTGTGGAGTGATTGCATAGAACCGCAGCAGCGTTTGGCTGCCAATTTTTTTTGGGTGGCAAAATGCCATGGGTGGCACCTTAGCTAACTAATACAGATACCCCCGTCAGTTCCAGGATTAATTTCATTGGATTAATTTAGTTGGATGAATTTTTGGTGACCGGTTCAGAAATCTAACTCAAGGGATATTTGGATTAATTTGCAGCGCCTCCGTTAGAGCAATGGCTCTGGAGAAACCACGGCAGCAACCAGCGCATTTCTTGTTCCCAACATGCAGCTGGGCACTGGAAAGACATGGAAAGAATTATATCTGAATTGTCACTCACCCTTTTCATTCTTTTGTTGGAGGATTTTGACGCCTTACACCTGCAGATTTGACATGATGCGGGATGATGCGGAAAGATGTTGTTTGTTGAGCATGCTGATTCTTAGTGCTAGTTTGTTGGTGTTTCTGCTTTGTGTTAGAGGTTGCCAGGTGCATGGGGCTCCTCAAGCGGACCCAGTTGAGTGTTTTTATTTTTGTGGCCGAGGTATCGGCAAAATGCGGCCCGCGGTCTGGAACGAGAAATACTCTATCTATGTGTGCCACTGCGAATCTTGGCATACGTGTTGGGCACACTACCATTGGAGCGCGGGTTGAGCAGGTGAAAGGTTTTCTGCGCAAAGACCTAGAGACTTGGGATATCTTGGGATGATTTGGCCCTTCTGGGATGACTCAGGGAGGCTTGGTGTCTGCCGTGTTTTTCAAATCAGTTGGCTGGCAACGACTCTGCAGGACAGTTCTTCGGTGACTTTTTGCAGGGGCATCGGCGTCCATCCGCTCATTGCGCTGTGTGGCACAGAGGACAATGGATCAAGTCCCATACTCTGTCGAGAACTATGAAGGACCTACAGTCAGAATCTAGTTCAAAGTGATCACATTTATGCAGGGCATTTATTTTTTAAGCTGGCAGTCTTTAAGGACTCAGAGGCTTAGACTTCTCGGAAACTTTCCCCACTGATACAGACAGTGAATATTTTAATTTGGTGTTCAGGAGAACTGAAAGACTACCAGATTATTTTCCATTGGCAACGGTGAGCTGAGAAACGGCCATCTGAGCAAACAGGTGTGCAAACTTCTGCGCTCGCTGAACCTGCCACGGGGACTACAGATCACAAACATGAGGCCTTGACTTCCAATGGAACTTTTCCTTTTATTGCTGGGAGTGAGCTGAAACAAATAGGCTATCAACATCTATCAACTGCGGTGTTTTATTTACAGTCTTATCATGAGAGGCTACAACCTCCAGGAATCAGAACTGATCCATTCCTCATGATGCAACCTTCACCTTTCAATTGGCTACTGCTTGGTTAACCACCACAGGATGCTATGAATTCTTGACCCAATTTTTTGGACAAGCTCCCAGCGCCCGGGTTTCTGTATGGTTTCTGTATGGTCTTTGTGTGTGTAGGACCTATAATCCTCTACCAAGATGTTGGTATTTCAACCCGGTGGTGCATCTTCGCGGATCCCATGACGAAATCTTTGCCAAGTGGCTGGATATAGCTGGATGCCCTCCCCAAGGCTAACTCCTTCAGGTGATATCAGTGATGTCCTGATGTTTGCTAGATATTGCTAGATTGTTGTTCCTTTTTGGGGGCAATGGTTACTCCGCGTCTTCCTCGAGTTCTGTTTTGGTCACTATGTCATATTCCTGGTTCTTGGCCTCAATTTGGAAATCAACGAGTTCATCAGTTCATCATAGTTCATTTCATCGAAGCCTCAACTGACCCCCAATAAAAAGCCTGGGTAGCCTGGTTTCATCTTTTTGGAGCAATGTGAGATCAATAACCCATCCCCACAGATGATTATGATCTATTATGATCTATTGTTGCATCTCATCCTTTGGGGATGATAAAAAAACACCCCTCCATGAAGTATAAAAAGATCACGAATGTTTTATAGTTGGGTCCCCTCATTTTTCAAACAAAGCTTGACAAGGAATTGAATGAATTTTGAATCGCAGCAAATTTACTTATTATATGAAGGTTCTGAACTTTTATTAGGGGTAAGCTTCAGAATCAATTTTGGGCAATGTTTTGAACATATTTTGAAAATGATTAGGATTGGAACTGATTTTGAATCGAGGGCTTTTTGATATTAAAGTTTTGAACTTTTTAATAGGGGCAAGCTTCAAAATCAATTTCTAATCATTTTTGAAAAAATAATTACAAAGGATTTAAATTAATTTTGAATCGAAGCAAATTTTTTGGTCCTGGTGATGTCTGGTGAGGATCCGGTTCCGCCCAGCGGGCAGAACCAGACCCTATGCTTCGATGTCAGACCCGGTGAATCGGGGTCCGGTGTGGGGTCCTTGGGTCCGGTTCCGCCCAGCGGGCAGAACCAGACCCGAATATGCAAGCATTTTCAGGGCGGAATGTGAGAAATGTGGGGTCTGGTTCTGTCCGCTGGGCGGAACCGGACCCAAGGACCCCACACCGGACCCCGATTCACCGGGTCTGACATCGAAGCATAGGGTCTGGTTCTGCCCGCTGGGCGGAACCGGATCCTCACCAGGCCTCACCAGGACCAAGCTTTTGCAAGACACAATAAAACAATACCCCGCCCTTTGCGCATCATTTTTCTTAAACACTATCCCATATTATCCCAGCAAGCTATCCCAACCACTCCTGAGGAAAACACTTATTGAAGAAGATTCTGCATCTCGTTATATATATATATATATATATACATACTCTCGTAACTTAAGGTCAAGGTGACAATGCAAACTTTCAACCTGGAATAGGAAAACATGGGATAATGCAGCAATTCGTCATCGCGTGCACTGGTACACAGCAAGCTTCCTAAGCGCCGCTCAAGTTTTTTTTGCTAATTTGCTACTGATGTCACAACATCTTTGGGCTTTGTACTATTGCTTCAACTCAGCTTGCTTTGCAGAAGCACAATCTTGTTTCATGTCTTGCAGAAGAGCGCATACCACAAACAATTCGTCGATTTCAGAAACAACAGCGACCGATAGCCATATAAGTTTAAACAGCGGGGCGGGACAACAGAACAAATGCAGTCTTGGTAGCTCCCGCGGTCTTGGTGGGAAATTTAAGTTGCGACCTCGCCTTTAACGATCCAGAAACGAGTTAGACCAATGGTTTTATTAAGTGTAAAAGGGGTGGCAGGGCAGCACAAATAGTGAAGCGTTGTTACGTATTCCCAATTTTGGTGGGAAATTCATGTTGGCACCTCGCCTAGTTACAACCTGCCAGCCCGGCGGCAGCTCCCAGCTCTAGAGTAAACAAAATCAAATCCTGCAGTTCGGTGCCATGGCCTTATGTTTCTCAGACGCAGTGGTCAGAAGCCCGGTTTCCTGAACATTTGTGGAATTGAATAGCATTCAGGAGCATGCAAGTTGATGGAGCAGGGTTCCTGTGGTTTTAATTTTTAGTGGTTTTGTACCCTAAACTCTACCTTGCGAGACCTAAACCCTAAACTCTACCTTGCGAGACTTAAACCCTAAACTCTACCTTGCGAGACCTAAACCCTAAACTCTACCTTGCGAGACTTAAACCCTAAACTCTACCTTGCGAGACCTAAACCCTAAACTCTACCTTGCGAGACTTAAACCCTAAACTCTACCTTGCGAGACCTAAATCCTAAACTCTACCTTGCGAGACCTAAACCCTAAACTCTAGTAGTAGTAGTAGAAGTAGTAGTAGTAGTAGTAGTAGTAGTAGTAATAAGAAATTTGAATGCGACGACGCGCGCGGAACCCGCGCAGAAGAACACGCGCGGAACCCGCGCGAAACGCAAACGCGCGGAACTCGCGCGTAGTATCAATACTTTTAGTACTAGTAGTAATAATAGTAGTAGTAGTAGCAGTAGTAGTAGTAGTAGTAGTAAGAAATTTGAATGCGATGACGCGCGCGGAACCCGCGCAGAAGAATACGCGCGGAACCCGCGCGAAACGCAGACGCGCGGAACCCGCGCGTAGCATTAATATTTTTAGTATTAGTATTAGTAGTAGTAGTACTACTATAGTAGTAGTAGTAGTAGTAGTAGTAGTAGTAGTAGTAATAGTAGTAGTAGTACTAGTACTAGTAGTAGCAGTAGTAGTAGTAGTAGTAGTAGTAATAAGAAATTTGAATGCGACGACGCGCGCGGAACCCGCGCAGAAGAACACGCGCGGAACCCGCGCGAAACGCAAACGCGCGGAACCCGCGCGTAGTATCAATACTTTTAGTACTAGTAGTAATAGTAGTAGTAGTAGTAGTAGTAGTAGTAGTAAGAAATTTGAATGCGACGACGCGCGCGGAACCCGCGCAGAAGAATACGCGCGGAACCCGCGCGTAGTATGAATATTTTTAGTACTAGTAGTAATAGTAGTAGTAGTAGTAGTAGCAGTAGTAGTAGTAGTAGTAAGAAATTTGAATGCGACGACGCCCGCGGAACCCGCGCAGAAGAATACGCGCGGAACCCGCGCGAAACGCAAACGCGCGGAACCCGCGCGTAGTATTGATACTTTTAGTACTAATAGTAGTCGTAGTAGTAGTAGTAGTAGTATTAGTAGTAGTAGTAGTAGTAGTAATATAATAGTAGTAGTAGTAATATAATAGTAGTAGTAGTAGTAGTAATAGTAGTAGTAGTAGTAGGAGCAGCAGCTGCCATTCACTCACCCACGCACTCGCTCACTCACTCAATCTCACTCACCCACTCGCTCACTTATTGACAAACCCAGTAACACATTCAACCATCTTGATTTGTGAACAAAGCAGCGGCTGCTCTATGCTGCTCTCGCTTCATCAACTTGGGACGCCCAATATCAATTCCTGGAGCCTGAACATCCACTTTAAAGATCTTTAAAGTGACCAAAAGCCAAGGTTGAGTCAGAATTGGTCTTTCATAAAAACATTGAAAAAGTGGCCCTTTGAATTGTTTTGAAATGCATATGCGGAATCGTTTTCGATTGTTGCGCAAACTCTGTTGGAAAGGTGATGTATGGTAATGTGCTTCGTTATTCATCGTTGTTCGAACTTTGCAGTTCTAGAGAGACATCCACTTTTCTACCAGAAGCATGCACTTTTCATAGAAGAAACCTTCACTTTTTCCCAAGCATAACACCTGCTTTAAGGTGGTCGTTTAAGGTTCCAAGATGACATCTTGGGGAACATCTTGACAATGGATGGCGACGGGGAAAAAGAAATTGAAGCATCGCAGCGGGAGAGCGTGGGGCATTTTCAGTCAGCTGAAAGGTTGGTTTCACTTAATTTCTACTGTAAAGTTCATTACATAATGTGCATCAAAATATGCAGATGGAATATATTTGGTGGTGTGCCAGCCTTGTTGGCTACCATTTACATGTATATATACATATATATATACATATATATATATATGCATATATATATTATTGTTATTATTATTATATATTTAAATAATACTTCTACAAATGCAGAAATGTACGAGGGGGGGGGTCCCCCCCCCACAATCAGGAGGGATACAGCTGTGTTTGCAAGTTTCCTGAATGCCCGTGTCCCCTTGAAGGTTTGAAATCGTCCCAAACCAAGAAACCGAAGGGATTTCCCTGCACCATTGCCTTCTAGAAGTCCGGTTGTAACCCAAGCTGTTCAGGTTTTTCTGTTTGGGTCATCAAGCCTTTGCAATGCAACCACTGGGTCCCTTGGCAACCCTTAGCTGAGGCAGATGCGAAAGAGATACTTCAGTCAAGCCTGCAACCTAGATTTGGGTTTCTTTGAAATTTAGGATGGTACTCAATACTCCCGAAATTCACTGGTTAACCATCACCCATTTGATCGTTTAGTAGTAAGTTTTTTCATTGGCTGATGCTTCCCACTATGGATTTCTATGGGTTGCCAGAATTGATTGAGGTTCTGCGGGGTCCATTGTGTCGCCAGGGCTATGCTGAGCCAAAATGCCTAAAATGGAGCTACAATCCCATCCTGTCTTTCAAGCATTGAAAACTGTCCATTGCATGCGCCTTAAACAGGCGTTCCATATGTAGGTATCTCCAGTTTAGACCCAGACGGTTTTTTCATGTTTTTTTCCCTGAACCAAGGCATAAAAGAACATGCTCCTGGCTGCGTTTTCCCGGTGTTGGTGCCCAATGCCAAGGGCCTACAGGTCTGGCTGCAGGGCCCAGCAACTTCAAGGGTTGATTGTCCATGTGTTTCCATTGGTTCCATGGAACAACAAGATTAACAACGACCCCCGCAAAAAATACCATCTGCTTATTCAACATATTGTTCATAATGTTTCAACATGTTTTAGGTAAGCTGGAAAAGTACCATGTTTTAAAGGTAAATTATGGTAAATCATCATAAATCACCTACAAATGGGAGATTTTCCCATAGCTAGATGATTTATGTAAAAAAAAACCACGTGGTTAGAGTATCAATCATTAAATGATTTTCCATTTGCATCATGTTTTCCGTCACCAGAGGCTATCGCTTCAGTGCCAGGCAGCTCTGGCAGCTGGTGCCAAGGAGGCCACCAGGGTCCCACTCTGCTGGGGCTGGAAATCCATGGCGCCATCTCCAAAGGATTTACATATCCGGTGGATTATATATATATATACCCTCTGGTTATTTAACATAGCCATGGAAAATCACAATTTTCAATAGGTAAATAATCATAAATCAAATGTAAACGGGCCATTTTCCATAGCTATGTTAAATAACCAGAGGGTATATATATATATACATATGCGTGTGTGAAACGGATAGATCATCAATGAATTGGATTATCCATGTTTAACTTTGGGTTTGTTTTTGTTAGTTCAAGTATGTTTAATATTGTCTTGTGCCATTTGTTTCACTGTTCGTCCGGTCCAGGTACCGTTCAATTGTGACTCTAGTTCTTTATTGCTGCTGATCGTTCGACTGCAGGATTGCAGGTGTATCCAACTATACCTGGTTTGGGTCCGCCTAGGGTATTTTCAGATATCACGGATGCGGTTTTCAAGCCATCTCTGTTCAGGAGTAGAATCATATCGTTCTGAGATGTTCTGAGCCACCCAAGCCGTAGTCGAGAACTGTTTCAGGTCCTCATTGGCATAGGGATTTCTTTCCATTGCCCCATGCAACCGCTATATGATATCCATATATATATATACTCTATTTCTTCCACCGTGACGGCCATCGGCCCCCTTCGTAGCGAGGTCACCCTCCTAGCGGCCGCCAGTGACACCTTTGCGCAGAGAAATACGATGCTGGTCTGCAAGGGTCGCTGCATTCGCTGGTCCTTGGCGAAGTGAGAGCTGAGGCCTCTAGACCAACAAGCCCGAGTTGAGTTGATGATATTTCATGATACTTGATGAATGCCAGCTGGACGAATTGAATTTCCGTAGTTTTTTTTACTGTTTTCTATATAGTAATTAGGTCACCTACTGTAGGTGTTTGATATTTGTGACGAATCAGAGTGGACTTCCAGCCCTAGGAATTGCACCGTTGAGGAGAACTTGCAACGCGCCAAGGCTGAGTTTCCATGGGTGTTGCCCCGCGGGATGATCTATGGAAAAATCTTCACCGGAAACCATTGTTTTTACAATGAAATATGAGGGTGTCCTGTAATTTTTCCCGTAAACCAATCCAATGAAACATCGATAAGCACGTCTGTTGTGGTTGGATGTTTTGTTCTTGTTCTCCACTCCCTTTTGACATCAGCAAGACGATCCCTTGTAGTTATGGACAGCCTCAAGGGAAAGATACCATGCAGGTCCCCAAGCGTGCTAACTCATGTCGTCAATGAATAAATCCATTAATATCCATGGCAGTAAACCTTTGGGGTAAATGGTTTTGAAACCACACAAACCTAAATGGTAAAATTGGGTGCATGGATCGTGGTGTATTGTTGGGTCTGCAAATGGTATGGTATCAAGCAGCCACGCTGCATGCTCTTCAAGTCGGGCGTCAGATTGTTGCCTGAGATATTTTCTTGGTGGTGTCAAGTGTCCAAATCCTGTCCAGTCTGGGATAATGATTCCAATCTGCCAATACTGTTGGATACTCTTGGAATGGGTTGAGATTATCAACTGCACATATTCATGGCATTTGTTGCTCCTGTCCGCTGTGCAGGCCGTGTTAGAAGCAGCCAAAGAAGCGCAGTGTCACTTGATGCAAATGGTTGCGGCCGAAGGGCTTGCACATGCGCATGCAATTTCAATAATATCTATTTAATACGTATCATCATGTATCATCCAGCAATGCAGCACGCATAGATGGCGATGGAGGGGGAGAGAGAGAGAGAGAAAGAGAGAGAGAGAGAGATTCTTTGCAACAAAAACCACAATGCTGATAGAAATATGGAGGTTTCCCAAAATGGGGGTACCTCCAGTTATCACCAATGTTTTTTTCCAGTACAAACCAACCATTTTGGGGTAGCCCCATTCTTGGAAACGCCCAGGTGCTGTGAGGGCTGCGATCTCCGTGTGTTTCCGGCTTATCGTTGCCGGCTGACGGTCGTTTCCACGTCTTGAGATTTTATGAGCTTTACATTTACATGGTGCATGAATCATGTGGAAATCACTTGACATCACTTGAAATTGGTTGAAATCAGTTGGTAAAATCATGTGAAAATGTGGGAATTCACTAGGAATTACTTGACATCATGTGGCCTTGTTTGAAATCATGTTATGAAATCATGTGAAATTGTTTAGAATCACTAGACCTTGCAGAAATATATTGAAATCATGTTTTTTGGTGTCAAATCAACAGAATTTACTGTGAATCATGCGAAATTGTTTGAAATCGCTTGATGACAAATCGCTTGATAAAATCACTTGAAATCACCTGAAATCACCCCAGCAGAAGAATTCAAAAAGACGAAGTTGACACCAGACCGGCCCCAGTTTCCAAAGGTGTCCATCCCCTCGTCCGCTGGTTGTCACGGCGGGAAATCGTTCAGGTTTGGGTTGTCCCTACGAAGGCGAAGTGTCGCCCAAGCGAGTGGCGCAGGTAGCGACCGGATCTGATGTTCAACCAGGATGCATGTATAATGCAAGTAATTACATGATGTTTAGAGTTTAGATATGTTGAGCGGCTTTATGATTCATTTATATTTATATATATATATATATAGATATCCATTTTTTTAGTATGTCAATATTTTTATTCATTACAGAATGATTATAGTAATTATAGTAATCATTGATTTTCTATCCATGTCTTTCGCTTTTGTTTGGATGTATAGTATTTTCGTGATGTATGCAGAGTATATATATATATATATATTATACTGCAACATCTTCAACACAGTGGCTGGTTTGCGAGTTGGACCGCTATGTGGGTTGGCGATCGGGCAATGTTCTGGCATCCATTGACATCCGAGGTTTTCTGTGAGCTTTAGAGTTTTGTGTCAATAGTTGGGGTCAACCGAACACCTTTCACTGCAGGTGCTTGGTGCTTGCTTTAGCTGATGTGAATGTACATTTTGACCATCTGTGGGATGGCCTTCCTGCTTTTTCCCCGGTTCTGTACTCTAAATCCATGTTTTGTGAAGTTTCATTGGCTCCTGTATGGTGGGCCATGCGATTGATGCGAGAGCTTACCAACTTGGGTGGTTCTTGCTGAATGCAGTGGCCGGCCTTGCCTCGCGCCACCTGTGCATCAGGGACTGAACTGATGGCGCTGGAGAGAGAGATATAGACTTGGTGATTTGGGGCTTGACATCAACAGTATGTTGTTGATTTGGGTCCTGCGGTCCTGCACGGAAGATGTTTGACCGGACCCAGAAAGTACCAAGATATACGAAGATCATCCATGTTCCATGAATTTTCCCCAGTTCATTGTGAAGTTGTTGGCCTCATCTTCCAGTTACCCGGCGTCCAGGTGGCATGTCGCTTGCTCGAGGACGGCTGCGAGGAGGTGGTGGTTTGCGAAGCTCAACTTCAGCAGCGGGGTGGTGATTTTGGTGTCGATCCGCCGGTGATCTACAAGGTAGTGGCCCCAGTTATAAGATTAGAGGATGTTACATATACATATAAGAATATATAATAATATATGTCTTTGCTCAATATGTGTATATATATATATAACATGTGTAATTCCAACTGCCTATGTTTTTCAATGAGCTTTAGTTTCCATAGGTATAACCACGATAAGTCTTAGTTAAGCTAGTGTTTTTTTAAACCAGCTGAGCTAAAGAACGGGGCACCACCAACAGTATGTATTTCAGCACCCGAATCATGACTGTTCCGATTGTTAGAGGAAGATCAGCCCAGTGAGTCCTGTGAGTGTGATAGTCCATGATAGTCCTATAGATTTTTAACAAGCACGCATATTGTGCAAATTGTTTGTTGGCTTTCTCCTATGTCTCAAACACAATCTCCATTGGCGGCAATATCGAATGATTGACATGTGTCTTGGTGGAGTTGAACTTACTTGTTCCTGAAGAGGTGCATCAACCTTGCTAAATAACAACCTTTAATGCTCATATATAATTGGCTTCCTCCACCATGTTTGTCACTCATTGCTCTTATGTTTATCGTTTTGTTAACTATGTAAAATGTTATACCATATTTCTAGTTGAGGTCCAAGCCCATCGTATCCGATCATGCATCGGATCATGTATGCCAATTTATCCACATAGTTGATCATTGATTCATGGATAGCAGCCCCAAAATAGCTAGAACCGTACAAGTACATGTCAATTTTTGCAGGATTACGGATTATCATTTCCATTGTTCCTGGGCTCGCTATATTAGCCATATACTTGTACATATCTACCGTTTGGTCATTTTCGCATAGCTGCTGAAAATCTCCATGTTCACTGCTATGTTACATTACAGCAGAATCTATGTATATATGTATGTATGTACGTATACACGTGTGTGCATACAGGTATCCATGTACCTATCTATGATATATATATATATATAGACAGACAGACAGACAGACAGAAAGACAGACAGACAGACAGAAAGATAGACATGATAGATAGATCCATACACAGTATGTCTGTATAAATATATATGTTATCAATGTATTCTTCCTATATATCCACATTCCCCATATGTCATATACCCCTAGCACCTCCGAGGACACCATCGGCACGGGCACCGCGGCGTCCGTTTGGAGGCTCCTAGAGGCCTTGGAAGGCGCTGAACGGACCGCGCGGGGTGGTGATTTTGTGGGTTCAGTGATGAACATTCCGGAAATACAGATTAATTATCTTGGAACTATAGATTAATTAATTAATTCATTAATTAATTAATTAGCAATCCAGATTTATTATGTGGTTTTTCTTAATGACTTGTAGACTGAATAGAATACGAACAATAGATTCATTTCTATGAACAATGGATTAGTTGGATATCAACCACAATAGAGTCATCAAATATATCACCCATAACATGAATGGTGATTTATTTGATGATTTTATTGGTGCTGAATATATGTTAACTTATATAATGTGATAATACTTTGGTGATTGTATTGGTGGTTTTTGGCGATTTGGTGATGTATATTGTTGGCAAGTGGTAATACAATGTTGGTAATCCTTTATATAACGCAAGATTTGTCCTATAATGTGAGGAAAACAATAGTAAACCACCCATGTGGGAATGGTTTATACCATCTATTTATGGTGAGTTGGGGGTTTATTGTTGTATTACCAACATTATATGGCAATAAATGCAATGATATATTTAGCATACATTTTAGTATATTTATTTAGTAATGTTAGTAAAGCAATAGATGGTTTATACACTTTTATGGCGAATTAGGGATGGTTTACTGATAAAATAACATTAATGTAGTAAAGTGAGTAATGAACCATCCCCAATATAGAGTTTTATGATTGAACATGAGCCCCAAATGGTTGGTACATGTGTTTTTGGTTTACCATATGAATAGGTGATTGGTTTACCATGGGGTAAACATGGAATGGAACAACCATCAAGGGTTTAACCATGTGAAATATGTTGAAATGTGACATATGGTGTTTACATATATATATATATTTCTATATATATATGTATTTGAAAAATATAGAGAGATTGATACATGATGGTTGATGGTTAGTTGTTTTTTTTTCGGTGTTCAATATAGAAATAACACAAGTAATATCAATAATTACTAATAAAATAAATAATAATGGTTGCATTTTATATATCATGATCTATTTTCACCCACATACAATATGCATAATCAATATATATATATATATATATAGAAGACAATGTTTTCATACATCATGATTGGCTATGTTTTTTGGAGGTTAGCGACCTAACTGGTTGGGGGATGGAGTCTTGACGACCTCACACCTCGAGCTCATGAAATTGTCTGACTAGTGACTAATGAATGAACATGGAATAGTATAATAACCGGCATTTTGGGTTGCACCTTAACACTGCCAATGCATTGCCGGCCCAGAAAATCTGCTTGTTCCCCACCTGCCAGGTGAGGGTTGTTAGATTTTATGTCAGTTGCCTCCTCCTCCTGCCGCCTCCTGCCTCCTGCCTCCTCCTCGTCCTCCTTGTCGTCCTTGTCGTCCTCGTCGTCCTCGTCGTCCTCGTCCAACTGCGACCCGCGATCCACAGTGTTCGCTGCCGGACCTCAACCACCACCATCCACGACCAGTGTTCCCTGCCGGACCTCAACCACGACCAGCCACGCCCAGTGTTCCCTGCCGGACCTCAACCACGACCAGCCACGCCCAGTGTTCCCTGCCGGACCTCAACCACGAGTATCCATGCCAAGTGTTCCCTGCCGGACCTCAACCACGACCATCCACGACCAGTGTTCCCTGCCGGACCTCAACCACGACCAGCCACGCCAAGTGTTCCCTGCCGGACCTCATGTAGGAAGATAAAATGTCAGATAGAGTGCCAGAAGATTTGCCAGGTAGAATGCCAGAAAATATGCCAGAAGATATGCCAGATAGATATGCCAGAAGATATTCCAGAAGATATGCCAGATAGAATGCCAGATAGAATGCCAGAAGATATGTCAGAATATATGCCAGAAGATATGCCAGATAGAATGCCAGATAGATGCCAGAAGAATGCCAGATAGAATGCCAGAAAATATGCCAGAAGATATGCCAGATAGATATGTCAGAAGATATGCCAGAAGATATGCCAGAAGATATGCCAGAAGATATGTCAGATATATGCCAGAAGATATGAATCCAGAAGATAGAATGCCAGATAGAATGCCAAATAGTCAGAATGTGCCAGAAGATATGCCAGATAGAATGCCAGAAGATATATATCAGAATAGATGCCAGAAGATATGCCAGATAGAATGCCAGAGATAGAATGCCAGAAGATATGTCAGATAGAATGCCAGAAGATATGCCAGATAGAATGCCAAATAGAATGTCAGAAGATATGTCAGATAGAATGCCAGAAGATGTGCCAGTAAGAACATGTATAAATGTCATGGTGGGGATCACACGAAGTAAAGTATTTTTTTTAATGCCAGGTGAGACTACATTTGGGTCATGGTTTTGCCATTTTTTAGCAGAGTATATCTAAGATTAGCAACGGCATCCAGGTAGCTACCCACAAAAACAATATGGTTTTAACATGTTTTAACGGTTTAATCAAAAACTAGAAAAACAAGGCAAATCATTGCAAACAAGATCAAACATGACGATGTTGAAGCAACAGAAGATCTTGGCAATAGGGAATCTCATCAGCAATGATTTGGTCCTATGCGGGTGCCCCCAATTATCATCGATTTATACATGGATTTTCCATGAAATAAACCAGCTATTGGGGTACCCCCATGGAAAGCCCAATGGAAAGGATCTTAGGACAGTTTCCATCCCTGGGAAGAGTCCTTTGGGAACGATTGAGAGGTTCCGGCGTTCCTATGGAGAAGGTGGGCGTCCACTTTCACGACACCTACGGGCAGGCGGTCAGCGGCTGGGCGCGTTTTAAATGGTTGATCAGAAGAGAGTAACCTCCAGAAAACATGGTTTGAACATCCACATGGTGAGGTTGATGCTGTGATTACTTGTCGCCGGAAAAAACCTCCAGTCCTACAGTAAGGCTGGTAAGTTTGCCCTGCATCTCCGGAAAGGGATCACTTCAAACATATTGCATCAGACATATGCATATATATATTATTTATTGTAATCGTACATGAAGTCTTGCGAGCCTTGAGAAGCAGAGAGAAAGGGTGAAAGTGCTATAATTGTTTATATACGTTATATTAATATGAGATGGCGATGAAGAGAGAGAGAGAGAGAGAGAGAGAAATCTATTTTTATAAATGAGTATTATATACAATATATGTATATTCTGCAAGTGCACCGTACACCTGTATATTAGCGCATAATTGGAGCCGGATTTTCGTGGATTCTCCGCAGCCGACACAGGCTGTGGCCAATACACTGGCGGCTCCTCGGCAGTTGACCAGATGGCCTGGAGCATGATGAACGAAGCCCTGAAGCTGGCGGGTTGCAACTGTAGTTTTTGGTGTATAAATAATATAATATAATATAATATAATATAATATCAGATAATATAATATAATATAAGATAATATAATATAAGCTAAGATAAGATAAGATAATATAATATAATACAATATATAATATATAATTTGATGTAATATAATATAATATAATATATTATAATATAATATAATATAATATAATATAATTTAATATATTATAATTTAATATAATATAATATAATATAATTTAATATAATATATATAATATTATATATATATATATTAGTTACATATACGATACCCACATACATGTATACATATAATTAACTATATACTATCTATATATATATAATTATAAGAAAATATTGTGATATATATATATATATATAGCATCAAGCTAGATGATGGGCTAATGGGGTTTATAAACCAAGAAAAATAACCGGGGGGCACTGGGCCATGACTGCGGTGACAATCCCATGAAGGACATGCGCTCAGCGCGGGCATACTCCAAGGCCTCCCTATGCTTACCACAATGAGCATGGAAGAAAATTGCAGGGGCAATTTTAAGAATTGGATGAACTGTAATTTGCCAGAAACTGATTTAGCTGCCGATAAATGTAATACTATAGTTATCTATAGTTTACTATTGTAGTAAAAACAATTCGCGCACTTTTTTCCCTAAACCAATCCAATGTGATATCGAACGATCACTCCGGGTGGAATCCCGAAACCGTGAAACTACGAGGCTTTGCAGTTCGGCGTCGCCAAAGTGGACGCGGCGGTGGGGGGCGTGGGGGGCTGCCCCTTTGCCGGACCAGGTGCCGCCACGGATCCCCTGTTCGGTGACCCTCCCAATATATGTCCAGTATGTTCTTGTAGACGTGGTTGTTGGTGGTTAATCAACTCTTAAACTCTTAGTATTGGGTGGGGTTACCTTTGGGAGGGCTGGTTGAATCTTCATGAAACGGAAAAAATATCCGCGGAAACCACGTTTTGGATATTTTACTATTCTCTGATATGTTGAAGATCAGTTCTTTCAGAAGTGCACTGATGATTGTTTATTCTGTGTGGTAAGTATACGGTTTGCTCCATGTTCATTGTTTGTTTGATCTTATACATGTTTCCGCATTTTCCCCAGCTGAGGTGTCAGTGGAAATGTGGCCACAGAAGATGTGGTGCAACTGCTGCATGGCCTCGGGGTTTCTTGGCGCCGCAGACGGCCTTGGCTCCAAGGTAAAGCCCAAGATCCTCAATCAAATTGTTGGGGATGGCTAGGTCAATCTTAGATGGATAGTTAATCCATTTAGTCTTTGGATGTCTTTGGTATCAATGGGATTGTCTACTAACCAACTAAGTTTTTGTTTGCAGGGTATCTAAGATTTGCCATGATGATGATAAATTTGGGGATGATGCTAACCATTCCAAGGTTGGGGATGAATTGTTTCATTGTTAACTTCTCGAAGGTTGGGGATGATGATAACTAACCAGTTGATTATACCCCCAAATCATCATAAATCATCCATTATAGTTCGATTTTCCCTGAACTAAACCATCGAGTTATTGGGGTAGCTCCATGACTTCGGAAACCTCCAATTATCGAGTAGCCGCCATTTTTTCAGCAACAGAAACCCCGAGTCTTGGTGTCAATAAAAGGCCCTACTGTTGGCGGCTGGTGATTTGGGATGAGCGTCCACGATAGGATCAGAACTTTGATATATAAGACAATCACATATGCGTATGGCACGCACCCATACATATTTATGTATGTTATTTTTTTTCTATGTGCATATACATACTGTGTATGTATATATATATATGCACATGTGCAATGTGCAGAAGAGAATGGATATGATATATATATATATACATATTATTTGTGGGTGAGTGCGTGGCAACTAATTGGGTGAATGATGACAGACTTATGTGGTCAACGCCATCTCTCAGATCCACATGAAGGAGCCCCTATCCGGGCCCTATCCGTTTTTGCAGTTCTGATTAGGACGCATCCTCATAATAGTATGACTGGCATTAAAGCGCCCACTTGAGGAGTATAGCAACCCCAAAAAGGGGTAGAAGAATTGTACACCTGCAAATCACAACTTCAAAAAATCATTTGCAATCCACAACATCCTGGATTGTTTCTTGTAAACACTTGTTTACCCTAAGATTTGTTTTCTGGAGGGCCTTAGGCGGCCAGCGACAGGTTGAAACTGGCCTAGATTTGCTGCAGCTTTCGGAAGCTGGGCAGTGGCTCAGCTCCCATGTACTGCAGAAAGGCGCGGAGATCTGGACAGGGCATCCTTATCTCGGCAAAGTCAACGTTGGAACAGGCAATTTAATACCATGGTTTTGCCATACATATGATAAACATTGATAAACTGTAGAGTTAAATATACAGATATGTGGTGATATGTATATAATTATAATTATATATATATACAATAGACAACTATATATATATAAACTATACTGTATATATTATAGATATAGACTATAGATATAGAATGATATAGATATAGATCTAGTACTAGCACATATGTTTGCATATATATATATACATGTGTGTGTGTGTCAAAACATCTTCCGCTAGGAACATCCTTTTGTATACAGCTGGCGCAACGGGCCCTCCATGACTCTATGGAGGCAATGGCTCTCGCGCGGGGCCGGCCACCCTGAGACGCCATGCTCCCGGCGCGCAACCAAGGCGACGGGAGGGTGACCAGCGACCATGGGGATGAGGAAATTATGGCAATGGGATTTGTCCAATTGTCTAGGCAATAGGGAACGTATCTGACGCTGTAGATAAAACAAATTAAAATGAGATATGCAACCAACAGTATACAGTAATTATATGATATTAAAATATATTAGATATGGCGTTATGCAATGCCGAAAAGACCTAGCAATCATGGTGGCATTGATCAGCATCCCCAGGTTCGGACGAACCCGGCTAGAACGCAGGGGGAAGTCCCCGAACTAATTGGAGACCACTGGGGGTTTCTAGCTGGGAAAATTCGGAAAATCATGGAACTAAATGGTGGATTTTCCATTGTCTAAATGGTGGATTATTGGTAATTGTTTTTGTAGGAAACAGATCTGACATGCCGGATAAACAACCAACTGGTGAACTGGGTGTAGGTTTATCATAGTTTTTTCCAGCTGAGATGGGATGATATGAGATTGGGGTGTAACTTAGTAACTGAGTAAAGTTTGGGTAAACTTGATTGAAACTTACTGTAACTTTGATGTTATTCGATGTTATTAGTTTTATTGAATGCAGGATACACAATGATACACATGGCTATAATATGTTCTTTGATTGCTTCATATGCTGCCATCCGTTGTTTCTGGTGCGTCTCAAGGCCATGACAGGGGATAAAGGTCAAAGATCACCTTCACCGTTTTGGTGTTTTATTTTTGCGGCGAAAGCAGGGGTGCAACGAAATTGGTAAATGCTGTCCATTTTTGGGGGAAAAATGCCAGCTTACATCTTTATCTACCAAGTTTCCATTTATTTCCCCTTGAAACGTAGGGGTGTTGGGAGCATTCACAACCGCGGCAACATGGCCATTGTTCAAATTTGCAGATGACCTGCCAGGCCCGAAACAGCTGCAGCTTCGGGGTTTTCCAGTGGACCTTTGAAGGGACTTCGTGTGCTGGAGGCTATCGATGAAACCAAGTTGGCCCATGGTGGGGCTGCTATAGGTGTAACAAGTTGGGTGCGGAATCAGAGAGAATATATGGGGCATGCGGCATAGTGTTAACCTATGGATTTAGCAGTAAACCCACCAGTTCCATGTATTTTTGTTGGGGGATACCAGTTTGACTAGTCATTTAGAACACGATCGATGAGGAGATTGGGCTGTGAATAAAGGGGGCCACCATTACCATTGAAAAGTCGCAGATGACATCACAATTTGGGGAACCCTCTAATCCAGGCTTGACATTTCAAACTATCTTGTCCTGTAAACGTTTCCTGAACGAATCAATGGTGTCGGAGAGGAAGCATTCCAGATCTATCTACTCGTTTTCGTACCTGGCACACAAGTAGCACACAAAACAATCTTCACACGTAGCCACACACACTATTTGAATAGATCCGTCAGGAACTGAGTCCTGTAACATGCAAACCAGCCTAAACAGTTAGACCTAAATTAGATCGCAGGTACGTTTACACGGGTCCCGGGGGGGTGTCTTCGTTGGTCACCGACCCCCCCGGGACCCAGGCGACCCCCTGCGCTATTAAAAAGGGAGAGGACAGAAGGAATTAAAAGGAAGAAATTTTACATCTATTTAGATGTTACACACACACACACACCCGGCCGGAGCCGGGTCAACCCTGAAAGGCAAAAGGAAAAAAAAGCGGACACAACGACGGGCAAAAAAACAGAACAGCGCAGGGGGGGGAAGGGAACGAATGGACCTCCAGAACAAACCTACGCGGCGAAACGGACCTGACCAAAAACAGAGCACACACCTAAACCCCACGACACATTACGGAGAGGCACGCGGGGAGAATTAGGGACCAAATGGGGGACCAGTTGGTGACAAGTGAAAAAAACAAAACAATTATATAAACTAAAAAGAACTCAGTTCTTAAATTCCTATGTCTGATCCAAACCCCTCTATGAAATAGCGAGGGTCATGGCCCTGCATAAAACGTTTTATGTATGGTTTTTCTGTTGGTTGGACCCCCAATTTTATAGCCAAACCATGGTTTTGCATGATTCTGCTCAGAGTATGGGTTCACGAGGGGGGGCGTCAGAGATCCCTAATGACAGGAAGGTACATGACATAGAAAATTTGATGCATGTTTTTTTGAATTGAATAGTTAGATATAGATCGTTGACCATGAGTCGATGGCAGTAGATGAAATTTATCCGAAGCCATTTGGCCAAGCAAAGGTGGCCGAGCAAATTTATCGAAATTTGATGAAATTAGGAATTCAGACATCATCATACTGAATCATACTGAATCATCATGAATCCATATAACTCACAGTTTGGAACATGTTTAAACCATGCTTTTGACTTTTGAACCATGGAACGTGCTGAATGACACAAATCCACATGAATCTCACTCTTCTGCAAAGTTCTACTTCCTCTGCTATCCTTTCACATGTTTGCTACCATCCCTCTTGACTTCTTGGTTTGGGCAACCTCCTGCCACATCTTGCCACGACTGGGCCCTTGCTGGCAGGTTGGGTCTCTATAAAATGAAGGGGTCTAACCCCCCACCTGCACCATAAGCAGGGGTGGACCTCTATAAAATGGAGGGGTCTAACCCCCCACCTGCACCATAACACTGTTGCTCTGTGGGAGAGCAGAGGAATTGGAGCAGCAGGGGTCAGAACCAGCACTCAGAAGCCATCTCAGCTCTCACTCTTCTGCAAAGTTCTACTTCCTCTGCTATCCTTTCACATGTTTGCTACCATCCCTCTTGACTTCTTGGTTTGGGCAACCTCCTGCCACATCTTGCCACGACTGGGCCCTTGCTGGCAGGGTGGGCCTCTATAAAATGGAGGGGTCTAACCCCCCACCTGCACCATAACACTGTTGCTCTGTGGGAGAGCAGAGGAATTGGAGCAGCAGGGGTCAGAACCAGCACTCAGAAGCCATCTCAGCTCTCACTCTTCTGCAAAGTTCTACTTCCTCTGCTATCCTTTCACATGTTTGCTACCATCCCTCTTGACTTCTTGGTTTGGACAACCTCCTGCCACATCTTGCCCCGACATGCCACGACTGGGCCCTTGCTGGCAGGGTGGGTCTCTATAAAATGGAGGGGTCCAACCCCCCACCTGCACCATAACACTGTTGCTCTGTGTGAGAGCAGTGGAATTGGAGCAGCAGGGTTCAGAACCAGTACTCAGAAGCCATCTCAGCTCTCACTCTTCTGCAAAGTTCTACTTCCTCTGCTATCCTTTCACATGTTTGCTACCATCCCTCTTGACTTCTTGGTTTGGGCAACCTCCTGCCACATCTTGGCACGACTGGGCCCTTGCTGGCAAGGTGGGTCTCTATAAAATGGAGGGGTCTAACCCCCCACCTGCACCATAAGCAGGGGTGGATCTCTATAAAATGGAGGGGTCCAAACCCCCCCCTGCACCATAACACTGTTGCTCTGTGGGAGAGCAGAGGAATTGGAGAAGCAGGGGTCAGAACCAGCACTCAGAAGCCATCTCAGCTCTCACTCTTCTGCAAAGCTCTACTTCCTCTACTATCCTTTCACATCTTTGCCACCATCCCTCTTGACTTCTTGGTTTGGGCAACCTCCTGCCACATCTTGCGACGACTGGGCCCTTGCTGCATACTACCGGAACCTGTGTCTTGTTTGTTGGTGCTCTTTTTCACTAGAATGATCCTCCGGACGTCCGACATTGCGTCGTACGGCCGGCAATTTTGATTTCACCCAGTATTGCATAGCATCGTCAGACCTTAGCTCAGACTGGGCCGAATAGGCCAAAGGCTGTGGGGAAGACAATCTATTAGTTCCTCTTCTACCAATTTCATCCAATTTCTACCCTTGCATGTCCTTTCCATTCCTTTCTTCTATATTCTTCATAACTTTACACCTGCAACATATTTTGGTTTATACATGTTTATACATGTATATACCTGTTACACGTTTATTTTTTTGGGGGGAAGAGAGAGGGAATGTTTTTGAAACGGTTTCAAACGATTTGAAGAGGCGGGTCAGAGCTCCCAATTTCATAGACATCATGATATGTATGGTCAAAAGTTTGGCCAGGTTAGTGGTTAGACCCCTTATTTTATAGACTTGGGGGTCCGACGTCAGTGCTCAGCAATTTATATGCACCCTAGGGGTCAATGACACCATTTTATATCTATAGAATAGCGAGCAAGACCCTCCCCCCCTGTTTGGAACATACATAAATTCCTAGAGGTCGTGCGTTATTCCCTTGCTTGGACAGTAGTCAGGTCAGCCACGAGGGCATGTAACAGCTATGCAAATTCCAATGAATTAGGTGCACAATATGTTCAACCTCACCAGAAACCAAAGAAACCACACCTGCAGGAAGAGGACATGCCTGTTGCCTTCTGTCGCACATGTCAGGTTGCACTTCAAAAGCTGAAGCTGCAGCAGTGAAAATGAAGTTTTTGGCTGTTCGGAACGGCTTCACCCCGTAAAGAATGCATTTCCCAAAGGATTTCAAGGGACAGCCGGAAAAGCGGGACATCTCAAAAAGGCTGAGAAGCCGAAAGGCCAACTGTTTCACTTTACTTAAACGAATTACTAATCGAAAAGTGTGAATTCAGAAATCCGGTCAGTCCACAGTCACCCACAAAGGGGTTGCCTCAATTGGCCCTATGGCACCTTGTTGGAGCCACCATAGGTATCACACTAGACAAGAATGCGTCAGGAACTGAGTCCTGTAACATGCAAACCAGCCTAAACAGTTAGACCTAAATTAGATCGCAGGTACGTTTACACGGGTCCCGGGGGGGTGTCTTCGTTGGTCACCGACCTCCCCGGGACCCCGGCGACCCCCTGCGTTATTGAAAAGGGAGAGGACAGAAGGAAGAAAAAGGAAGAAATTTTACATCTATTTAGATGTTACACACACACACACACTGACACACAGTCACGCACGCATACTGTGCAGAGAACAGCCAAACACTAGTTTCAATTGCAATGTGTTTTGTAAACTTGTCATGCCATTTTAGGATGATTTATGATGACAATCCAAGAGAGCAAAGGTATGTGTCCGGATGAGTGGCTCAAACAGCAGACTATCGTTGCTTAATATCAAGATCAAGATAATCAACCAATATCAAAAACATGTAATATCCCTGTTAACTCCCTATAAAAGTTTGCCGGAGTTATCCGACAATGATGGGCAAAGTAGGGCTCCTTGAATTTTGAGCCATCCTCGCAATGGGCCCCCTCAATCCCCGTCAACTCTTTATTACGGCCAGTTTTTGGGCCATTTGTATCTCCCGTATGCTCCATGTTAATATGTTGGGATATATGTATATGATATATTAGGTATATCACATATTTGTACTTAAGTTGCCTACATTTAGGTAATGAATTGGGATTTTGCGCATGGTCAATACATATCCCATGCCGGGCATGTGGGTCAATGGAGCCCATGTTGCAGGTTGGTCCTGGCTTAGTCGCCGGGGGATGGACAGGAGCGTGTTAACGTGTTTGGAACAGCCAATAACCGAATGGGATTGGGTCCCAAGGGCCAGGGTTGCCAGGGTTTTGCAGAATTTCAAGATCTCAAATGATTTTAATGACATCCCATATTATCCCATATTTATTTGCACTCTTCGGGTGATAATGAGCATCCAATTGCTGTGTTCACCCTGGACACCCACCAGATTGGGAGGTATTGGTTGGCCTCAGGGCAAAGGATACCAGGTGGTGCCCTGAGTTGCAAGTTGGTTAATATCCACCATGCAACAGCATGTCACTATAGACCGTAGACTATAGATGTATCTACGACTTATTTGATGATACTAGCCATAGATGTATCTCCCATAAGTCATAGTTAAAAACTTAGCCAAGCTATCTTCGCAAATCCACTGTGTACCAACCCCAAAATAGCCATGAGGAAATTCTGCCAACTATCTGACACACTAGGTTTCCTGGGTATCCATGATTTGCGTCCCATGCATGCAAGATAAGTCCTGGTACTTTACATTTGGACCCTTCCAAAGGCCACATGTGCCAGGAGCGACCCTGGCGTACTTTGGGGCCGAGGTAGTGAAAGTCAGGGTGTCTCAGGCGGCGGCAGATGGCCTATTGTTACACAACAGGATGTTACAGGTGCCCCAGGTCGTGAGTTGGTTTACGGATACCAGGTATTTCGAACTACTGCATTCGTTATTCATTGTTTGGTTCATAACTGGGGGGGTGCCTCCTGCTGTTCAAGGAAGTTGCCTCGGCAATTTCAATGCCATGTTCGTAACCATGGACCATGTATTCTTATATATATATATACATACATACATACATACATGCATACATACATACATACATACATACATACATCATACATACATGATTATACATGCATTTATATATTATGTATAATAATGCATTTCTATGCATATCTATATGATTTGTTGCCATAATCTACTGAATCTACTGTGTCATATGATCATCACTGGTTTTGGTCTTTGATGCCTTTAATGACGCCAGGGTATGCCAGGGTTAAACCCGCCATTACAAGGTGGGCCCCCAGATAGCCAAGTGTTTTAATTGTTACATTATGTAAATATGCTTTATGGTGTGTATATATATATACACAGTATACATATCATACACACACATATTATATATATTTATATATTATATATATGTATGCAAATACATGTACGATTCATAGGGGTTAAAAACCAACAATACATAGGGGGCACCACTATGAAACAAATCAGGCGGTGCACCACGGACTTATATGCAAAACCAGTGCAGTTGGAGGTGGTTGGGAAGAACTCTCTGTACAGTGGGGTACCCCGAATCTCATGGTTCAAAACGGCATTTCCCACGTGACACGAGATTAAACTCATTAAATTGATTCCATTAATTACGGGAATCTGAATTGCACATGTTTGAAATGTATGTTTTGCTTGCTGCAGGTTTTTTGGACCAGTAGGGTATAGGCGGCAAAATCGAGCCGCCAGTCGTGCAAAGACTTGCGAAAGGCTTAGATTTATGCCACAGGTTTACATCATGGACAGCTAAATGGCCTCCATGTTGGATGGCTAATTAATTCTTGTCCGGTCAAAACAGTCCAGAACCTTCTGCAACAAGGCTGCATTCAGTAGATTAGAAGTTATAGTAGTGTAAAACAATCATCGGCCAAAATCCTACCAAAGCTTGAACATGTGCCACTCAAGTGGAATCAAGAGTGGCTAGTTGTCAGTGGCAGAAAGATATCCAATTTCTCCACTCTTTGCTTCATGTGGCTACCGTCCATTATCCATGTGCAACCCTGTGGCTGTGGGTCAATACCCTGGCACCCTTCTGCTCACATCAAAATAGCTATAGCAAATGGATGTTTATCCCCCAGTGATGTGGTTTTTGGTAAGTAGGTTTTGATCCATCATTAATGCAGAAACCATGAGTTTTTTCGCCCAACACAAGTGAAGTAAACATTTGGATTGCCCAGTACAGGCCCCGGTGATGGGCCATGGTCGTGACAAAGGCTGCTCGGAAACGCAGCCGCGCTGCTCCTGCGCCAACAGTACCGCCTCGCGTGGTGCGGCGCCGGGTGACGTCGAAACAGCCGGAAGCCGATGCGCCGGTGGAGTGACGCGGTGGCGAAGAATTGGAGAGTTGTGCAACCGAACATTGGAGATATCATGGGATATCACTGGATATTGAGTGAACATGGATAAACAATGGATAAGCCCAGATAGAAGGGGGTGCTCCCAAGTTGTTCGTTATAAAACCATTAAAACCTCTTTGACTATGGGTATATCTACTATTAGGAAGCATAGTATACCATAGTCATCCACCATACACTTGTATTTTTCAAAAACAGCTCAACAAGCTATGGGGCACCACAACCTTGTATTGAGTTGGATCCAGTTGGAATGCGTAGTTCACATAGTACATGTAGAACGGAATTCACAAGTCAAACACTTAGAGGTTGGACGGTGTTTAACTTTCAATCAATAAAATGGACGCCACAGCATGAACACCCCATTTGCCTTCAAAGAAAGTTAAGCATGGTATTATATGAATTATATTTATGTATATATTATATAATATACATATGATTTATACCCAACAATTAAGCCGAGTGAGCTTTGAAACACAAGATCCGCAACTTTTTTTCCAGAAGTCCCACAGCTGGCACCCCTTCCGCCCGAGGATTTGTTCCTCCCAGGAGGAGCCAAGCGGCCTGCAGGCCGCCGCCGCACGGACGGAGCTGGAGCTGAGCACTGAGGCTTTTCGAGTGCCTTGGAGATCTGGCCACGGGATGCATAGTTGGAGGAGGTAGTTTTGAGCAATAAAGATGCGGAATTTTCATGGAATTTGAATGATTTTGATGGACCTGGGGAACTTGAAATAACTTGAATGGGATGCTTATGATAGTAACAAGAATCAGTGAACCAGCTGGGTAGAGCGAAGATTCACAACCCGGGCATGATATTGTACTTGAAATGATCTGATTAGGCAAAACCAACTGGCCAACGGTTCGTGAATAGGTGAATGTTTGGCTATTTTGATGGGATCTATGTATGATTTCATATGATTTTATGAATGATACCCTGGTTGAACTGAAGTTTGCCAGCTTGGTGGTTTAATGTTGGTTTCTGTTGGTGTTGGGGACGCATTGGCCTGGAGAATGTAGATGCTCGGTGAAAATGCGGAAAGATATGAACTAGTCTGATTACTGTATGAGGCTTTTAAAGATGGGGTATCAAAGTTGAAGTGTTTCCTCATTTGAGTGACGGCTTTTATTTGGTTAAATGGAGAGTAGTATCGGGGCGTACCCCGGTTTGTTGAAAACATCATAATTAGTATTAGGCTGTAAGACGAGGTAGGAACACCCCGAGAACGAGGTACTTGTAGGCATTGCATGGTAAAGCATTAAATTTAGCTATCAAAAGCAAGTGCGGCATTGGAAAACAAGGCCAGACCCCAAAAAGTGCTACGGAACAGATACGGACCCAAAGTTGACCCAAGATGGTTAAGCTAAGCTAACTGTGATTGCTGTGATTGTTGGATATTGTTGGTGGTAAGGTTATAAGATTAACATCTCACAATCCAACATTATCCCAACATATATTATTAACATATATTCCAACATCCCAATTTCATCAACATATACCCTCTGGTAAACATACAAAAAACTATTGAAAATGACCATAGAAATATATAGTGGATTTACCCAGCTATAAAATGGTGATAGTTTACCAGAGGGTAGATGATTAGTTTGCCATTTGATAGTGGATTTATTAACCCCAACAATATATTTAACCATATATCATATATATATATATATTACCATTACCCCAGTAACAATCCCAACATCTCATCACTGGGTCAACCTTGGGTCGTCCCGGGCATCCCAGGCATCCCAGGCATCCCAGGCATCCCAGGCGTCCTCCGTCACCGTCAACACCGCGCCCGACACGGCGGTGCCGGAGGCGGAGCCGGCGCCGGAGGATGTGGCGGAGGAGAGGTGGTTTCTTGGGTGAAAATTGGCTGGTGATTTTGGATGTTTTTTGGTGAAATTTCTTGTGGGATTCCAATGGTTTTAATGTTTGATGGATGTTTGAGGTATAATCCACTATATATATATATGTGTATATATATATATATATTTTTTTTTTTTGGCAGTTGAGGTGATTGTTGGGAAAAACCATGGTGAGTTCTCCTCAAGTTGGGATATGGAACTGCACCTTCAGCATCCTTTCCTTTCATGCACACCCGGTGTGCGTTGGCGCTCTTGCAGATACAAAGATGACTGGTTGGACTGGTTGGTGGTTTGGAACATTATTTTTCAACATATTGGGAATAGTAACCCCAACTGACTTTCATATTTTTCAGAGGGTTTGAAACCACCGAGCAGATGATTTTCACATTATTCAACTACCAGCAATTCGAGAGCGAACCCGGGTGCTTTCGTGTCTTACGCTGAACAGGCTTTTGGACGCTGAACAAACATGGTTTCAACATAGTGGGATGGTTGCAGCCACCAATCATCGACATGGCTAGGTGCAGAAAAGTTGCCTACCTTGCCGTGATAAAATGTGATAAACGTATCATCCCATTAAATGCCCGTCATGCGAAGAGAGTATTTGATATATGCACACTCGAGATCTGCGCAACTGCTTCATGCTGTAGCAACCCGTTAGCAAAGTTTGTCCAGGCCATAAAGGTTCTGTGATCAATTATTCAGCCTTGTCCCTGAAAACATCTTTGAATTCTGACAGAAAATTGACGTCAAACTGATAAGCGCTCCAACAGTCGAAGCACGCCCCTGAGATGAAAAGGCAGTTTTTGGCGATAGGACTCAAGAATATCCGCATATAATATATATATATGTGTGTGTGTGTTTAGTATGTTTACATTTACATACAAGGCTGATCAAGGCTGCAAGTAGCATTGGTATATCCCAATGCTTCTTGATTTTATCCGCATGCCGCATGTTGTTTTTTTAGATCGCCATATGTCACCACTCTGGAATCATGGCCCGTATAGGGAATCATCCCCAAATGGCCCAATTCAGGCACTCAGCAGCCCCTGTGAGGTTCCTAGCCCTGGGCAGCAAAATTGTCGGTGTTCAGCACTACGACGGGGTCGTCTCAGACCGTGAGTCGGTGGTCTTGCGACGACAGCCCGCCAACATCTACGACCCCAATGCCATACAGGTACAGTACAGTTTTAAGATGTATTACTTATACCCATTGAAGTGATAGATATAACTTAGCCTTAGTTGCAGGAGTTAGAAACCTATAACTCGGAAACTTGTTAAGGGCCATAACTGCAGATTCCAGATGTAATCAAACGTTTGGAATCTCTACTTGGGTGGGTCGTTTCAGCTACAAAATCCCGACCAGGAAAAGCTGGGAACAAACTGAATCGCAATATTGCATGTTTTTTGCAAAAAAAAACAATTTGACGATTTTGACACGTTTGGGCACGATTTCAAACAAGGATCAAGTGTGCACATCCTGGGCAGGTGCTGAATATCAGAGGCGAACAGATCGGCCACGTTCCGCGAGAAATGGCCAGTCTGCTGGCGCCGGTGATGGACCGCTTCGACGATGGAACTGGCCAGTTGAGGGTTGAGGGACACATCCCAAGAGGCCAGTCGTCGCGGACGAAAAGTGGTGGATCTGGCTACAGCACTAGGTCCCTAGGTCAATCTTGGATGGATAGTTTAATCCTCTAGTCTTTTGGTATCGATGGGATCTACTAACCGGCTAAGAATTTATTTTTTTGCAGGGTATCTAAGATTGGCCATGTATATTCAAGTCAACCTTTCAAAATTTGGTTGGAAACTCTTTTGAATTTGCAGGATTTCATCCAGTCAGATCCGCTGAAAGCCGCAGGCTCGGGGAATATGTACTCCATCCCAGTCCGCAGCTGGCCTGCAGAAAAATCACCGGAGTCAAACAGCGGACTCAAACATGACCAAACCAGCGGTTTCCACATGTTTTGACAAATCTTGGGTGGTCAAATCCTCATTTTTGAAGTGCTTTCCAATATATGCACCTGTTATAGTGACATACATTTGAGCAATTTTGGTGGAAAGCGTTGGTACATGCTCCAGCACCTTATGTATAGTCTTATTAAGACTTATATAGCATATTGGGTTTGGAGGGCTACTCGGAGATGGCAATTTATACATAATACATTATCATTACAATATTATATAACACACACACACGCGTATATATATATATATATACACAGTATTATATACATATATATATATATATATATATACATATAAATAACGAGGAAACGATGAAACAGCTATCAAATTTGGGGGTAGTACCCTAGTTTCAAAGGAACCCATATGCCCATGAGGGTTCTGATTTCCACCACCTCCCCACTTTTGGGTGCATCCCAGCTAGTCTTTGGGAAAATAACCATATTATGTGTATCACTTTCGGTAATTCATATATGTATATATATATATATCACTATTATATATATATTGTAAAAACTCCTGCAGTAAAACCATGTATTGTATATATCATCGATCTACCCGATAGCGTTGGTTCAAAAAGAGCTGAGAGCTTAGCGGTTTGTAGTGCATTTTACCCCATTGTCGGTTGACCTGGTAAAATACAGGTTATCAGCCGTAGTCTCACTACTTTGCTATGGGGACCCCAATTGACCATCCTCTCGCCGTTCCAGGGTCAGGTCCATCGGCTGTCGCTGTGCCTAATATGGCCGGGGGCAACCCCGAGCCGATGGATGACGAAACAATGTTCCAACCCGTTGTTGCGTACTTTACCTTCATACAAAACAACCTGTCCCAGATTACTAGTGGGAATACCCTGCAAGTCATGAGGGAAGCTGAACAGAGGCCCCTTCAGATAATGCATGGAGTAGTTGACTCAATTCGAAACGAATGGTCAAGTAGACTCGTAATGCAGGAGCAGGAGTATGAGCAAAGGCTGCAGGAGGTTGAAGGTAATGCCATTAGTGCCCTCAACGAGGAGAGGAAACGAGGCGACGAGATGGAGGTCAGGTTGAATCAGGCTCAGGCATCGCATGACAAAAGAATAGAGGATGTAAAGGCAGAGGCAAACACAAAGCATGATCAGAAAATTGCAGAGGAAAGAAAACGTATCACTAGTGAATTCGAAGCTTCCTATGCACAGACAGTGGAACATGCAAAGAATGCCATAGCTGCCACAAAGAAGCAATATGAAGATCAGGCTGCAATTGATCAGGCCAGGTTCATCAGTTTGAGGACTGAGTTTGAGAACTACAAGAAGGAGATGGCCGACAAGATCAACGAGGCAGCGGCTCAGAACCTTAGCCTTCAGGACCAAGTCGATGATCTTCAGGAGCAGTTAAAGCATGTTGCCAAAGCGCAGCATGCCTCCGTTCCGAAAGCATCCGTCCAGAACGCCGAGCCGGCCGCTACCACTAGCGTGCCCCACTTCAATATTGCCACTCCCAAAGCATCCGATGCACAGGCTGCCAGAGGCAGTGATGAGCCGATTCTTGAGGTGAAGACGCCTGCAGTGTTGGCGCAGGAAGCAAAGGCCAAGTTGGATGAGCTGCTCAAAGGTGGCAGTCCCAAGCAAAAGCCGGCTGTCGGCAACGACCAGCCCCAATTGCCAACGCAGTCAGGGTTTTTCACTCCCACTGAAGCTATCAAAACTCCCCCAAATGAATCTCCTAAGAGCGCAACCAAGCAACAGCAAGTTATGGGTCCCTCAGATCTTATTGAATTGGTGAAAGCCTTAACCCAAAGGGAAGAAAAGGATAAGCCAAAAACTAAGGAGGCTGAACTCATCAAGCTGAACAACATGCCCGCTCCGGAGTCATATAGAACTTGGAAGAATCATGTCAGGGATGAAGTGAAAAGCTGTTCAGATCGCCCGGATGAGGCGTGGCTCTGGCTTAACGAGGTGTACGATCAAGAGTGCACCAGAGAGCAGTTGGAGAAGAAACTCCAAGATCCTGGAAAGTTCCTCACGCTGGATACAAAGTTATCAGCAGCGCTCACGCGCTCAGCCGGAGGGGACCTCGCAACTAGGATCTTGAATTTCAAGGAGCAGCAATCCCGAAAAGGCATCCAGGTCAGGGGAAGATATGTTCTGCTTATGTTTGAGGACTACTTCAAGACATCAGAAGAAGCAGGTAGCCTTTACAGAGTAGAAGATCTTTTGGGTGTTGTCAAAGTAGGCGATACTGTCCAGGATCTCCGAAGATTCATCAACAAATGGGATGCTACCCTAGCTGGCATGGCGGTCACCCCTGATGATGCTGTGTTAAGGGACATCTTGTTGAGGCAGATCCGACCAAGTCAGCTGCTGAAATATGACATCGAGGTGTTTGACCGTGCTCATGAGAAATCCCATGAAAAGTCTTACAGTTTTCTTCACCAATCCATGAAGAACTGCATCGATCGTGAACGATTGAGGGAGAACAGGAACCGCATTGCGGAGAAGAACAAGGCTGGGATTAAGGACACAAAGGCCGCACCTGCCAAAGGCGATGGTCGCGGCGGCCGAAAGGGCTCTCCAAGTCGTGGTAGATCGCAGGAACGAGGTGGCAAAGGTGACAAGATTTGCTATAAGTTCCAAAAGGGTACCTGTGATAAGGGGAAGAAGTGTCCATTCAAGCATGTCAAAGATGATAATCTCGAACTCAATCACCCAGAAGAACCAAAACACGTTCACCATCAAGGGGCAATAAGGATGATAAGGGGAAGAAGATGTCCAAAGAAGAAATGGCCAAAACCCCATGCATCTATCATGCCCAGGGAAAGTGCAGACGTGGTGACAAATGTTTTTATAAACATGATGACAAAGCCGCTGCCGCCACCAAAGACACCAAAAGGGCCAATTCACCCGCTCCCAAGAAGAAGGGCAAGGATTCCACAGCCGCTCCATGTCTGATCCAGAAGTTTGCATGCATCGTCCGAAAACAGCCGAAGGCAACTTCGTGTTCTGATGAGGCAAGTGTCAGCATGAAGCGTCTTAGATTCCGAAAGGCCCCACATGTGATCGAGGTGAAGGCAGTCGGTCGTCAAGTCCCAGTCAAGCACCGTCCAAGAGAGTTCACTAAGGTGTACAAGACAGCTGAAGATGTTCCAGTTTCATCAAAGGTTGAACAGCATGAAGCTCAGGTTCGTGCAAGACAGCTCCAAGAAACTGTGAAACTTCATGATTCAGATGTTGCACCAAGTTGTGGGTTTTGTTGTTGGGATGAGGACACACGTGACATCACATGCAAAGAGTGCAGGTTCATCAGCGGTCCCAAAGCCCTTAGAGACATCGGTCGTTTCCCGTCAATTGCCACAGCTGCGCCAAAGGCCGGCGTTAGTTGGCTTGTTGACTCAGGTAGTGAATCCGATCTTGTGTCCAAAGGAATGCTGAGGGATGTAAGTGCCAAGAACTGCCGTGCAGCCGAGCATCCGATTTCCTTAGTCACAGCCAACGGTTCGACTGAGGCAAACGAAGTTGCTGATGTCAAGTTGTCCGCATTGCCAGATCCCGTGCATCCGTATGTGCTTGATCATACCCCAGCTGTGCTCTCTGTAGGAACGAGATGTGTAGATCAGGGTTACAGTTTCGTATGGCCTGCCAATGGCAAACCAATCCTAGTCCGTCCAGATGACAAGGTTGTCCAGCTCAAGATCGAAGGTCATGTCCCAATCTTGGATGATAGTTGCAAGGTTTATCCCAAAGATCAATTTCAAAAGGATAAGCACCTCAAAAAGTTGTTTGCAATGCCGACCTCACGGTCGAGCTCAAAAGCCAAGCGGGACGAAGCCCAAGATGAAGAGCAGTTGGATGAACTGGTGGAGGATGACGCTCAGCAGGAGTACATCCGAAGCCGCAAGACTGAGGATCTGTTGGCTGAAGCTGCAAGTACCCAACATCAGTACACGCATTTCCCCAAGAACCCCTTTTGCAGAACTTGCCAACGAGCAAGGATGATGGCACCTCAGGCACGAAAGAAGGGTGGTCAGAAGAGAATCGAAACTGAAGTGTTTGGTGACCACATCATTGGGGATCATGTTATCATCAAGAAAAATGTAGAAGAGGGTTTCAAGGGGGAGCAAGTTGCGTTGGTGTTGAAAGATCTGCACACCCAATATCGGTATGTCTACCCTAGCCAGTCCAAGGACTCACAAAGCTGTGTCGATGGTTTGAATCACTTCATTGGATCAAAGGATGATGTTCAAGTTGTGTACACTGACAATTCCCCAGAATTGATCAGGGCCATCAAGGATTTGGGTTACAGACACCAAACTTCCATTGAACACGTAGATTCATCAAAGTCTTTTGCTGAGCGCGAAGTTCGTCAGATGTTGGAAGGTGCCCGGAGCAACTTGTTGCAATCAGGACTTCCTTTGAAGATGTGGCCATTAGCCATGCAGCATCATGCGACCGCGATCAATGCAAGCCCCCAGCTTGACGGCAGTGATTCCCCATGGCAACTCAGGTTTGGTGAAGAATTCCCTGCTATGCACATTCCATTTGGTGCCAAAGTGTTGTTCTGGAATAACCCCAAGAGGTTGGATAACACATCAGGTAAACTCTCCCCAACAGCAAATGAAGGAATTTTCCTTGGGTATTACATCCAACCAGGTCATGATTGGAAGGGTGAATACTTAGTTGCCAAGTTGGAAGCCGCGGATTATCATGTCAACTGGGGTGCACTGACAATCCAAAGAACAAAGAGGTTGGAATTGCCATCCGAGGGTTTCATCTTTCCTTTGAAAGCTCTGATCGACTCGAAAGCACCCAAAGCCGATCGCCTCGAGGACCAGGTCATTCCGCAGACACCCAAAGCTGTGCCTCTGGAGTCCAGTTTGCATCCACCGCAAGATGAGTATGAATACGAGCCAGGTACGCCTCTACCAGCCGACAGCGATGTCGAGCCT